TTTATAGGTACATAGTGTTCGACGAGTTATACACATTGAACGGTTCAGATTATTAAAATGGGACCCGTGATAACCCCCACAGACCAAACAAAACCTTGCAGTGCTTTGTACAAAAAATAGCCAATAATTTCCAACTCCCATTCACACCTTCCGATTTGTCCGGCTGGGCCCACCTGTCACTATTCATCTCTTACACACTCTTTTTATATAATTTTTTAATACACATTTTTTCATAAAAATCCAAAAAGTTAACCTAAACTTCCATATTTTTTTCTCAACTTTTTTAGTCCAAAAAGACAAAAAGTACACTTTTTTAGGACACCACAAACCAGCCCTTAATTGAGATGAAATCTCAAACACTCTCATAAAAAGGAAAGACAAAAACGAAAAATATATTTTATAAATATTTTTTCATGTTTAGTAATGATAGTGGTAAGATAAAAATAGAAATGAAGGTGGTGATGGTGGCGTGATGGTGGGGTGGCGGTGGTAATGATGGCGATAATTATGGTGGTTGTGGCCATGATGTGGTGGTAAAGGTGAGAGTACTGATAGTAGTGTGGTGATATTGGGCTTTAGGCCAAGTTTGAGAAGTGTAAAAAAAGTTAAAAAGTTATTACTATTCACCAAAAGTCAAAAATTATGGCTGCACAACTCTCAATATTAATTTTCCCCTACACACTAATTTATACAATTTTTTAATACTCATTTTTTCATAAAAAGTCAAAAAGTTAACTCAAACATCCATATTTTTCCCCTTAACTTTTTAGTCTAAAAAGACAAAAGGACACCCCAAACAACCCCTTAATACCACTTCAAGCCTTAAACTCTATAATTATTTAGGACATATGAGAACTATATAAATTCAAAGAATTAATTGAGATGAAATCTCAAACACTCTCATAAAAAGGAAAGACAAAAAAAAAATCTATTTTTATATGGATTTTAAGATCATGAGCAAGAAGAAAGATGCATCCTCTAGTATACCCCCACAACGTCCTGATTTGGTATTTGTATTGGAGCTAAATAATTATAAAAAGACAAAATTGATTATAAAAGTCAATAAGATAAAATATTATTTTTTATCCATAATTATTATATTTTTTCTCTTATAAAAATCAAAAAAAGTCTCAAAACAAAAATCGAACGAAGCTAAAAAAACCTGACTAAAAAAGTTCTAACACAGAAAAGTTGGCTAAAAAGCCAATGCCAAACGAACCTTACATTGAACCAAAAAGTAAAAAATAAATAAAATAAAAGTGCTACTTTGCCTTTCAAAAAGATCTGAACTGTTTAAAATACCCAACGCGGTATTACTAATTCCCCCATAATCTCTAAACATTATTTATCCCCTAATCCCAAAATCAAATATGGAAATCAAATCTCTAAACATTATTTATCCCCTAATCCCAAAATCAAATATGGAAATCAAGCAAGGCTTTAATCGTAGATTGAAAAATGATCTAAAGATAGAAAACATATAAATAATTTAACACCAGAGAAGACGGAGTTATGACTTTTTAAAAATAATACTCCTATAAGTTTGAGTTTTTGTTTTCAAAATAATAAGATTTAAAACTTATGTTTAAAAGTTATACATAATTTTTATTTTTTGTTTTGGAGATGATTATATAAAATTTTTTGTTTGGTAGTAATCCAAAATGAGGATAGGTTATCCTTATTTCCCACCACCTTCCTAGTACAAAAAGAAAACTTCACTTTCACGAAAAGCATGTCGTTAATTTTGAAACTCTCAGCATTTTTGTTTGGAAAATTTTTATGTTAGTGTACAAATGAAAAAATAAAATTTATAAATATTAATAATTTTTTCAAATTACCATAATTACCAACTTTTGTTTTATCGTCTTATATTTTAAGGGAAATTATTCAATAATTTCGGAATATCGCGTGACTATACTCTAAATCAATCACTAATTACTTAGTTTCATGTTGTTCCCCACCATCAACATAAATTGTGGGCCTCTATCCCTCTCTATCAATTAAAATCTTATAAAGCACCACGTGTCCATACTCTGAGAATACTAAATAATCATTCATATTTTCCGTAGTTTAGGTGCAATGACGTGGTGAGAGCATCTCTAACAGTCTACTAAATAAGTTGTTAAAGGCAAAATATAGCAGGTATAGAAAAATATGATACTCCAATGATTTGCTATTGGAGCTGTTAAAAATAATAATTGCTATAACTTGTGTCAAATTTGACATACGTTTTACTTATATATCTAAAGTTGTCAGCACAATAAATTTTGAATGACCTACTAGATAATCACTCAGATGACCACTTAATGTTTGTTGCCTGGATAACCATTCAGATGACCACTTAGACGACGGCCCGACCCGGATGACCACCCGAAAGTTGGTTAAGTTAAAAAATAACAATTTGATCATTAGAGCAACGTTACTATCATATTACTATTTTATATTATTTATTGTTAAATTATAACTTTAACTTTTAATTTTACCTATTCAAAGACATTTTAGCATAAAAAATATATTTTTTTTTATTCATACTACTAATAAATCACTGATAATTTGCTAAGAGTTTATTAAGTTGAGTTTGAACACTTAGTAAGAATTTGGTAAGAGTATTATTAATAGTACCTTAATTAATATTTTGGACCTCCTATTTCATTAACTTTTACCTACAAAATTTAAAACTGAAAATTTTTATAAGAACTCCCCATGGAATACCAAAACTATCATTATAAAAACACTACACCCATCAAAATGCACACCTATCTCCCCTTCCAAAAACCCTTCAATCTCCCAAAATCCTAACAGTTCACCCTTCTTTAACCATTTGAAAATCAACCTCTCTCACCATCAAACTCACGTTGTTGACCTCTCTCATCCATCTCCGCCGTTGATTTCTCTCTTCATTATCAATCTCTCACCAGTGATCTCATTATTAGACAAAATTTATATTTGTTTCAAACTTTGTTTGATACTGAACTTTTGAACAAATGGAATTAGTTCAGTTAGACCTTGTCAAATTATTGCCTCTAATTCAACTCTGTGTTGTTATTTTTTTGACATACGTTTAGGAGTTCAGTAAATGTCGAACCATTTTCATTATTATTATTTTTGTGTCTAAAAAAACTTATCATTATAAGATCAATTTCATCCAAGCTGTGAACCTCATCCAAGCTAACATTGTGATGCTTCATTCATCTTACAATATTGGGGTCGCTAGAAAACTTGCACTCATTCTCATTGTTATTGCCATTGCAAGAGAAGTATGAATTGTCCAAGACTTTTGGAGAATACTTGTTGTCATTGCCGCCAGAGAAGCTTGCACAAATTAGGTATTCTGAATGTGTAGGTTTCGAGGTTTTCAAAGTCTGTGAGTGGTGATGGAGGTTAGTGCTTTCAAAATTCTATGTTATAATTTGATATGGAGTTTAATTATCAATAAGATGTTTCAATTGTGAGATGTGGTGTTCTAATTGCATTCATATTTTTTTTGAATAATTTTATTTAAAATTATTATTGTAATAGAAAATGAAAATATATATATAAAAAAAAAAGTGAGGAGTCCAAAATAAAAATTACGGGAAATTACAAACAAACAAAAAAAAACCAGCGTTTGGCTTGTTTTTCACATTAAACCCCAACATTTTAATTTTAACAATTTAAACCTTAAATTTTTAACCATGTCCCAATCTTAACCCTCCATCTATTCTCGTTTATTTCTACTAACTTTTTACACTTGTTTGATACATGTGTCACTTTTTGATTCGTCCATAATTATTATAATTATTTTATTCCAAAGTTATTCCAACACTCTCTCTTCTCACCCTCTTTTCTCTCCGTCCGGATTCTCTAGAGTTAATCCCCTAGAGTGATCTTCTGAAGTGCTTAATCCGACGGCTAAGAATAAAACTCACTAAAACGACGTCGTTTTGATGAGTATTTTGAAAAAAAAAAAAAAAATCAGATTTAGGGATTTCAAAACAACAAGGTTCTTGTGGAACTGCAAATCTGAAAATCCTTTAATTCTTCTTCTTCTTTTGCTAAATCTGAATATACGGACGATACTGAAGAAGAGCGATGGCTCGCTCTAATCTCTTCCTCTTCTGTCTCTTGAATCAACAGTGGATCTTCATTTTCGAAGTTCTTTGGATCTACAACAGCTTCAGATGAACAATCGTTTTCATTTTCTTCTGCAGCCACTGTCTCTTTCGCTTCATGGACTTCTGGGTCTGGTCCTTGATCTTCTTCTTCTTCTTCTGGTAGTTCGTCATTGATCTCTAACTTTTCCTCTTCTGGGTTTTCCTTTGCTTCATCTTCTTCTACCTCCATAACCACATTTGCTTCTGTTTCTGCTTCTAGGTTCTCTTGTTCTTGTTCTTCAATGGCTTCAGTTGAAACCATCTTCTCATACACTTCAACCAGCTCTTTATCCTCCATTAGTCTCGAATCATCTTCATGTGCTTCCTCTCCATCTTCTTCCTCTTCTTCACCATTGAGACCAGGTGATTCCCAGAAACGATTAGCAAGAGCTGAGGGGAATTTTGAAATCGAAAATTCTGAATTTTAGTTTTTCATTTTTTTTTTCAAAATACTCACCAAAACGACGTCGCTTTGGTGAGTTTTATTCTCAGCCGTTCGATCAAGTACTTTAGAAGATCACTCTAGGGGATTAAACTCTAGAGGATCCACTCGCCTTTTCTCTTCCCACCCTATCTTATCTTCCCTCTATCATCAATCAGTCCCATTTTTTTCTATTAGCTCTCTCTCTCTCTCTCTCTCTCTTCAGTTGTCACCGCTGCCGTTCGTCGATCCCCACTACCGATCGCCACCTCGCACGGCCACCTGCAACTCCACATAAGTCCCACTCTCTCTCTCTCTCTCTCTCTCTCATCATTGCTGTCCCCCACCATTCATCTCAGCAGTGGCGGAGGCGGCGGACGAACCATCGATTGCCACAATCCCATCATCAGAGATGCCAGACGCATAGGCAATTCCGTCCCACACACACACACTCTCTCTCTCTCTCTCTCTCTTTCTCTCTCTCTCTCTCTCTCTCATATCATCGTCGTCCTCCTTCACTTGTAAACTATGAAAACATACTTCAATAGCGATATAAGAGTAAGGAAGTATATGATAAACGAAAGAGCTTCAATAACACCCTTTATATCTCTAACTCCATGAGGAAAAGTATTGTAGAACACCTATAAGGGTTTATCAAGAGTCTCCATAAACCACTCCAAGACTCTGAAATGCCAATTGCAGAAGCAATAATGAAGAGAACTTCTGTAGGATTCAAAAGCAAATCCATGAACAAAACATCAATATAGCTTCATCAGTTACAATATCCTTTAGTCTGGCAATTACTCTTAACCAAAAAAAAACAAAAAAATTTGGAAACTATTTTTATAGAATTCACACTATCATCAGGTTTGCAACACAAGAATATGAGTAATTTGTTAAGATTTGAATCCAAAATTTCCCAAATCCAAAAATTTTCATATTGCACAATAATTTTCAAATCATCATTGATCAAACAAAAAGGTTTAGGTCGTGCTTTTCTCCGGTTGCTTTTCTCCCTTGCTTTCTTACTCCGACATGCTCAGCCATTCTGGCTAACCAATTTTATCAAAGAGCTCTGATATGGATTTGAGGAAAAAGACGATTGAGAGCTGAGAGAGAGAGAGAGAGAGAGAGAGAGAGAGATGTGGGAAATGTTGTGCTAACGCAGGGGCAGTGTGGACGGAAGTTGGCAAACGGTGGGAAGATTGGCAAACGAGACAGAGGTTAACGATGGGGCATTTGGAGAGGTCGGCGATCGTTTATCCTGAGAGAGAGAGAGAGAGATGATAGAAAAAAAGGTAATTTAGAAATTAAATAATTATAATAATTATGGACGAATCAAAAGGTGACACGTATATCAAATAAGTGTACAAAGTTAACAGAAATAAACGAAAATAGATGAATCCGGATCCTCGGCCGCCCTACCCGGCAGCCCCCCAAAACGACGTCGTTTTGGGGATTTTTTGGTTTTTTTGGTTTTTTTCTTTTTCTTTTCTTCTTCTTTGTTCTTGCTTTCTCTCTTTTCGAACAGAAACCAGAGGGGAGGGGAGAGGGAGAAGAGGGAGGAGGGAGGAGGGAGGAGGCTGCGAGCTCGCCATCGCAGCTCGTCGCCTCGCCGCCGGCCGTCGCAGCCGTCCGATCGTCGCCCGATCCAGCTCGTCGCAGCAGTTGCACCGCCGTCGCCTCCGCCTCCGCCTCCTCCTTCTCCTCCTCCCCCACTGGTTATGGCCCCCTCTAGTCTGGCCCTCCTCCTCCTCCTCCTCCTCCTTCCTCCCTCTTCCTCCCTCTCTTCCTCTGCGTTTTTTTTTGTTTTGAAAATTTTTCCCCAAAACGACGCTGTTTTGGGGGGCTGCCGGGTAGGGCGGCCGAGAATCCGGACTCAAAAATAGATAGGGGTTAACATTGGAACACGATTAAAAATATAAAATTTAAATTGTTAAAATTAAAATGTTGAGATTTAATGTGAAAAACGCGCCGAATGATGAAATTTTTTTATTTTTTATTTTTTGTAATTTCCCCTAAAAATTGAGAGGTAAAGTGTAAAAAAAAAAAGAAAAGAGAAAGTGTATTGTACATGGAATATGCAACTACACGTGTCCTATTGACTCTAGTTTTCGTTTGTCAAACTGAGATTGTCAAATGGTCATTTATAACGAAAGATCCAAATCAAAGCCCATAGAATTTGCCGAAGAACAATCTCTCTCTCTCTCTAGATATTTGTAAATTTTCTATATCTCCTCTCCGCGTTTGGAGCTATAATAGAGGTGTTAGTTAACGCTAATTCCTAGTTAATCAACCATGGCGATTCACAGAGTCACAGTCGTTTCTGTTCTTTTGATGCTAGGGTTTCTATCGAACGCCGTACGATCGCTCCGATTCGATCTCCAATCGGGTCACACCAAGTGCATCGCTGAGGACATCAAGAGCAATTCGATGACCGTTGGCAAGTACAGCGTCGTCAATCCCGACGAAGCCCATCCTTTGCCCGAATCTCATAAACTCACCGTCAGGGTATGTTTACTTTCATTTTCTTTTTTAATTTTCTCAGATGCCAAACGGAGGATTTGTGTATTTTGTTTGAATTTTGCGGTTTACAGATAGGAAAAATGAGAGCTTTCACTTTCTTAGATTTTCTCTGCTGCCAAAAGGAGGGTTGTATGGGTTTTTGTTTTAAATTGTGGGTTTTTTTTCTTTGTGGCTTACGGATAGAAAAAATGTTGACTTTCATTTTCTTAGATTTTCTCTGCAGCCAAAAGGAGGGTTTTGTGGGGTTTCGTTTGAATTGTGGTTTTTTTCCTCCGTAAAATTTGTTTGAATTTTGTGGCTTACAGATTTAAAATATAAAAATAAAATAAAAAAATGAGAGATTTCATTTTCTTAGATTTTATCTGTAAGCAAAATGAGGGGTTTAAGGGTTTTTGTTGTTGAATTGTGGGTTTTTGTTTAGGTGACATCCACATACGGGAATAGCTATCACTACGCGGAACAGGTGGGCTCGGGACAGTTTGGTTTTCAGGCAGTGGAGGCTGGGGACTACATGACTTGCTTTTGGGCTGCTGATCACAATCCGCAGACAACAATCACGGTCGATTTCGATTGGAAAACTGGTGTGGCTGCTAAGGATTGGACCAACGTTGCTAAGAAAGGCTCAATCGATGTGAGTCTCTCTGTCTTTCTGTAATGTTTGTGTTGTTTCATTTGCAAATATGTTCTATTTATTTGAACTTTTTGATTTTAGGTTGCTTTATGAATTTTGTCATGTGTGTTTTTAGATGAATATATATATGTCCTCAAATCTGCTTGAAGAAATGTAGATCTTTTAAGTTATTTGAAATAGGAAATAAATAAGGAAAAAAAAAGGTATATACAAAAAGGTTTGGACCATTGTTGAAAAGTTACTTCCATTTTACTCAAACTCAGAATCCAAATGATGAAAGAGAGAACATAAATCGATCCCGGGACCAAGCATATAGCAACTTTAATTGTTATGAAAAAGTAAATAATTTATATTGTAAGCCTGTAGAAATTGATAGGAAGTTTTATAGTCCTTTTTTTCTTTTTGGGCATTCCCTTCTTTACAAGTTAAATCACTAGCAATGTGCTTAGAGATTTGTTCAGACATGCATGGCGAGCTTGGCACTGAAAGGTTGGTATGAAAATAAACAAGTGGGCTGGTCAGACCATTATAACAAATGACGAAAATGCAGACATGTCTCTGCCTATATAAATCAAGCTTTCGGGTACTTTGGTAAGATTTTGAGGCATAAATCCTGAGGTCTCAGGATCTACACTCCCCAAGGCCAACTCCTAGGGGTTTGGTGCTGTGGTCCTAGTACAACCCTCTAAGTGCTGGACGAATCATATTCAGGACTTGGGTGTGGGGTTGAATCCTGACAGATGCACTCCTTGACTTAAATGGTGTGTGCGTTGTGGAGTCGGTGCACATACTCGAGGTTTAGCCCTCTTTCTACTCCGGTTAAACCGACATTAGGTAGTTGATTTTGAAGTCAGCGAAGCACAGGTTGGGAAAGTTTACTAGTTAACTAAAAAAATCAAGCTTACCGATGGTGCTACAAAAGGTTAACATATGAAGCACTGGTGTAGGTACGGATACTGGTATGGGTACGTTGATACGTCAATACCTAAAAAAATAAGATACAGGTACAACTGGAGTACGTTAATAAATTTTTATTTTTTATAACTTATTATTTGAGATTCAATCTACAAATCAAAATTCAATACTAAAATTAAAGGGAGAAATTACAAAATCAAAAAAGAAATCGTAGTTTAATAATACCAATACCAAAGCAAGTCTATAAGTTATTTTAATGCCATTAAATATGAGAAATTACAAAATAAAGTTTCATTCCAAAAGCAAACTAAGCAAAATTTGAATATTTGAAGTTTTAGTTTTCACTTCTATCAATTTTATCATTGAATAATACATCTTTCATCTCTGACACATCAAGTAAAGGATTTACAATTTCAAGTAAATCAGAGCTCTTTAATAAATTAAACGTATACCAATATCTCATAACTTGGTGTACTCCAATGTATCCATGAAATACCCATGGAGGACCCAACTGTTAAAGAATGTATAAAAAAGTATCCGGTACGTAAATACTTGGTACGCATGCAACCCTATCGATACGAGTACCAATACTTGGTAAATGCCCGATACGAGTACGGCAACATTTTCGGAGGATCCATACTTCATTAACACTTGTGTTGTTGCCCCTTAGGTGGGGGGGTCCTTTGTTTTTACTGCTGAATCATAAATCTGTCTGTTGTTTGCTTTATTTCTGAAACTCGGACTCAAATCCAATATTTAGCAGCAATAATGACCATCTGTAGTGTACATTATAACTTGCTTATATAGATAATACATGTTTGCGTGAATGTTCTTTTCTCAAACATGGGTGTGTTTTTGTTCAAACAGTCTATTAGAATTTGTTTACAAAGCGCGAATTAAATTTCAGTGTGCTCACCTTACCTACGTATCCTTTCTTCGTTCGATTGCATTGAGGAGGTTTGATTGCATTGTGCCTCTTTTATCTGAGTTTGTTTTTTCTTATTTCATCACGAGGCCCCTAAATTATTATTATTTCTTATACAACAAAATCAATTTTTTGAGTATTGCTTCTCAATTGCCGCATAATGGTTGTATGGTTGTTACAACATGATGTTTGCGTTTAAATTTTCTTCATATATGTATGGAGTGAAACTTGTAATATGGAAACGAAGAAACCTAATACACAACTCAACTTAGGTTGCTTTGTGTAGGCTCAATTTGTGAAACAAAACAAATGCCCATGATATACATTGAGAAACATTCTTAGAGTTAATAAGGATGTTCCATATGTATAATAGCCAAAGCGTTCACCTGATGCTCAACCTTTTGATATACTCTTTTGTCCAAGTTAGTCTAATTATTTTATTTTATTTTATCTTTTGCTACCAGGCCATGGAAGTAGAGCTGAAGAAATTATATGAAACTGTTACATCTATTCATGATGAGATGTTTTATCTCCGTTCAAGGTTAGTGACAATTCTTTACCATGAACAATTCATGACATTATTTCTTTGAGTATTTCCGTTAATTTATCTAATGCATTTTTTTTTTTTCATGCTTGTTGCAGGGAAGAAGCAATGCAGGAGCTTAACAGAACAACCAGCTCCAGAATGACTTTATTGAGTTTTCTTTCACTTTTTGTTTGCTTATCTGTAGCAGGTTTGCAAGTATGGCACTTGAAGACCTTTTTCGAAAAGAAGAAGCTCATATAATAGTTTTCCTTTTATGTACAATTTTCCATTAGTGGCATATTAAAGAAACGGAAAATTTTATGTCAATTTCAGATTATTGAGTTACAAATAATTAAAAACATGTGCCAAGAACGTCTTTTCTTCTCTTTCTGACTTGTCCAGAGATGCTGTTAGTATTCTTCTATGGATATTTTGGAATCAGTAATGTTATGGTGATCAAATTATGGGTGCATTGACATCACTACCTACCTGATGTGTGTAACAAAAGTTGGATACATTAAATTACAACACTAACACATAAGATGATAATCAAAATCTGGTGCTCAAATTTTATCAGCAGTCTTACTGTTTTTGAATTGCTTGGAATTCTGTTTCAGAATATGCTTTTAGAATTATTTTTTTTAAATAGAAATTAATTTGATAAAAATAAAAATATTTTCAATTTAAAAATAATAATAATAATAATTTCTGCCCTCCAAAAAGGGTAAAACTGTGTAAAAATAATGTGTATTTTTCAACAATTACAGCAATTAAGTAAAGAAAAACAGAAGTATTAATAGTGTTAAGTGATAACAAAAATATCTTCTAAATTGATGTATGATTTTTTTTTTTAATACCATTATTTGAAAATTTTGATATCATGATATTTATTATGTCAATAAGACTACATTCACTATGTTTTTATATCATGTTTTATCTACTATTTAATGCATGACATACACAATGATGATTGCAATGGTATCCATACAAATCTTATTCATATTCATATTCAAACATTAATAGTTGTGCTAAACAAAAAAAATGGTACAAAAATATGATAAGCATAAAATTAATTATTTTTACCCACCCAAAATAAACTAATTATTTGTTTAAACAAATTTTTTTTTTTTTTTTTTTGATAAATCTATTTTTTTGAACAATTTTAATGGTGTCAATTTATGAAAACCTCTCAAAAAATTTATATAATACTACATAATTCTCTGAAAAAAAAAAAAAAAAAAATCAAAGTTAAGTGGGTTCAATTGAACCCACTACTTCATGCATAGCTCCGCCCATGCCCAGATGAGTGTTCATGATCCATCTGCACAATCAAATGTGGGAGTACAGGGGGAGATCAACATCATAAACTTTCCATCGGAATCTATAGATACGCTTGGGTCTATAATGTCATGAAGTAAAGATGTTCCAGTGATGATCTGATGGTGTGTTTTCTTTAACCTTGTCAAGCCGCTTTAGAATTTCCAAGAAAGAGGGTCTTTGGTTCATATCTGCAGCCCAGCACAGCTCTATTAACCTAAAAAGTTCAACCAAACAGCAGAAATTAGCATCCCAACATTCCAGGTCTTATATCTCATATTCTAACATGGAAACACCATCACAGAAAGTAATTAAGCAAAGGAAAATAAGATTTAGTAAAACATCAACACAATCAAACAGCAGAAATTATCGATCTTTGTTATTTATTAGAATTGAAATTCATACAATTGAGAGTTAAAATATAGCATGAATATGATGAAGTTCAAACCAATAATAAAAATTGATGACTAGAAGAATTGTGGTTGACATACTCTCTCAATTCAGAAATGTAACATTTTGCCCTAAACATGGGTCTGTGTCCTTCTGCCATATATTTGGCTGCTTCATAAGGTTCATAGTTTGACAATGGTGGGTCGCCTTCAAGCATCTGCACTAGTTAAGAACATCATATACTTAATCTTGTTTCCATCAGTTCAAATCTTGTTTGAAATTCTTATAAAAACAAAAATTACCTCATATAGTATCATCGCAAAAGAGAAAACATCAACCTTCTTATCATACTTGCGGTGCTTGAAAACTTCAGGAGCCATATACCGATCTTTTGTTTTATACCATAAAAAAACAAGACACGTTAGTCATGAAAGTACCAAAAATATTCAAAACACGTAAATGTTATATATATATATATATACAACTCACAACTTCCAGTCTCGCCAGTCATTTTGTAGACATCATGAGAATTTTGCACCCTGATGAGCTTGCTTAGTCCAAAGTCCCCAACTTTTAAATGGTCTGCACTTGAGTTGACTAGAAGAACATTCCTGAAATAATCACCAGATTCAGCCAGCACATATTAAAATAACCACGCCAAACCAACACACGAGAGATTGTAATCCCTGCATCTGCAACTAATTAAGATTTTATTGATGAATTTAAGACACTGATGAAAGGTATAAAAGTAAAAGTTCAATCAGACAACACTCTTGTATGTCCACTCAGATCTGACAAAAAGATGAACTCACCTTGGTTTTAGGTCTCTGTGAATTATAACATTTGGCTCATTGTGAAGATAAGCCATGCCTCTGGACTCACAAATTACAAAATTTAGATTAGTATGGCATTCAAATTCAATAAAGCTAGTTGCATTTGGCAATTTGGAAAAATTACTAGGAAATCATTCTAGACAGCTACAACTTTTTTCGTCTTGGTTGCTGAAATGCAAGTATAAAAGCGATGCATAATATAAGAACCTATATTGCCTGCTCATGTTTCAGAGAGCATATACCTCAAAAGATAAAGGAATTTGTTTTCCTTCACTGAAAAACATTAGACATTATCATGTCCTATTGAAGTACAATATTAGTGGGACCATTCTGGAAGCATTGCCTCAAAAGATAAAGAAAGTTTATTTTTATTTTTTTTTCAATGAAAAAAATTTGACATTATCAAGTCCTGCTGAGTTCATTCTGGAAGCAATGCCTGGATCTACTCACTATGTTCCAAGCAAACTAAAACTTACTTCAACAAAAAAGAAAAAGGACCTTTTATGTCAGTTTTTTGTATCCGCTCAGCTCTTTTTTTTTTTTTTTGGATAAATAATCAGATTTCATAAGAAAGTATCAAGATGATGCAAAGAATACAAAGATGCAGCCCAAAGAGGGACTGAAACAAGACTAACTAATCAAATCCTCCACAAAATTTACAAAGACCAAAACATTGGGATCAACTATACCGTAACCCAACTATGCAACACCATCAATAACCTTTGCTCTAACCAAGAGACAAAGAAGCACACATCCTGAAACACTCGCCTATTACGTTCTAACCAGACCAACCAAAGCAAACAATGAGAAGCAAGCACCGAAGCCTTCTGGCACCTCTTCCCTACTCTAGCCCCACCCTAACTCTGTAACACCCGCAAAATAGACCCCGGTTGCACCCACACTAAGCCAAACAAAGCAACAATATAATTCCAAAGTCTAGACGCAACCGGGCAATGAAGAAGCAAATGATCAAGTTTTTCTACTTAGCTCTTTATATCATGTTTTTCTCTCTCTTCTTCTTTTTATTTATTTATTTATTTTTGTGGTGACAAAGCCCATGCAATAAATTTGAAAACATTCACATGAGACAAGTTCGATAAAACTGAGTTGCAGGAGATATGCTGGTACATAAGCCACACTGATTCCCAAGTCAAAAGTAAACAGATCATAGACACTTATTGAAACTGACTAAATTGATATTTCAAAAGGGAAAGTATTCATTCTTCAGCATGGCAGAGCTCGAAGAGTAAAACAAGCCGCACTAGCCTATAACATTTTTCAGACTAAATTCCGATGCCACATTCTGATTCTTGATGGATTAACGGAAAACTTGCATTCCTTTTTTTTTTTTGAACAACTACAAAATTTTATTAAAACGGGAAAGAGAAAGAGGAAGAGGACAAGATGTCCTCATACAAAGAAAGAAAAAGAGAAGAAGAAAAGCAAAACAAAATCGCAAAACTCGTAACCCTAAGGATGGCAAACAGCAGCCCAATCCCTAGAGATCAAAAACAAAGGGACCCTTTAAAAGAAGGAGATACAAAAGCCCAAAAAGAGGCGAAATATTCAGCCCTATCCCACAAATCCTCTACACTTACTTCCTTGTGTTAAAATTAATGTATATTATTGATTGATATTGATTTTGATTGATTACAAGATTTAATTAATTACAATTCCTATACAATCTATATATAGAAGAAAATGTGGTAGTAGGTGTAGTGGAGGTGATAGTGGGTTAGGTTGGGTTAGGTGAAGTGGAGTGTGTGGTGAAGTGGAGGTAGGTGAAGTGGAGTGTGTAGTGGAGTAGGTGAAGGTAAAGATGGGAAATTCTAACACCTTGCCTTCAAAAATTCGAACATTTCTCTCCAACCATATAACCCACAAAATAGCAAAAACAATGCCTGTCCACATTGTTTTGGCTTTTCTTGGTACTCCCAAACCTGTCAAACCGAATAAGAAGCATATGCATACACTCCCGTGGAGCAGCCCACTGCACATCACATAACCTGAAAAGACGCTGCCATAATACAGCAACCACCGGGCAATGAAGAAAAAGATGATCCGCTACCTCCAAATTTCTCTTGCACATCACACACCATTGGGGGCATAGAGAATGATTAGGTCTTCTCCTCTAGAGAACATCATTAGTTGTAATACCCTTTTGAGTCAAAAACCAAATGCAAAACTTCACTTTACGAGGGACACCCGCTTTCCAAATTTTCTTATGAAAAGGGAACAAGAGAACCGAGGGATTATCAATAATCTTATCAAAGAAGGATTTGCATGAAAAGACCCCAGAAGAGACAAAATTCCACACCCTACTATCGGAAGACGAAGAAAGAGAAACCCCCTCGAGCACAACCAACAAAGATGCCAACTCACCCGCCTCCCTATCATTCAAGTTTCTAATGAGATCAAAATTCCAGGAGCTGGGTGCCATAGACGAGCAAGCCACCGACGCTATAGACACATTTGGAGAACAAGCCAACCTGTAAAGAAGGGAAAAAGATCTAGCAAACGAAATATCTCCTATCCAAACATCCTCCCAAAACCGAACATTCTCCCCATTCCCCATTCTGAATGAAAAAAAATTAAACACAAGAGGATACAAGCGAGAAATGAATTTCCACAGAGAATGACAATTGCCTCTATTAACCACATTAAAATCTCTCCTATTGGATTGAACTCCATACTTGCTTTTAATAACTGAACACCATAACGACTCACTTTCAAGAGGAAATCTCCACAACGACTTACCCAATGAAGCAATATTCCTAGCAACGATGTTTTCTATAGCCAAGCCACCTTTTGCCCTAGAAAGAGAAACAGTCTCCCACCTAACCAAATGAACTCCTTTACCCTCCTCACACCCTTCCCAAAGAAAATCCCTCATCAGTTTCTCAATCCTTCTTGCAATGCTAACCGGAATTTTGAAAAGGGACATGAAATAAATAGGAACAGATCCTAACACGGATTGTACCAATGTATACCTCCCTCCCTTAGACAACAAAGCTCGCTTCCATCCCTCCAATCTTTTCCTAATTTTGACAAGAACAGGTTCCCAAAAAGACACCAAACTAAGATCTCCTCCCAACGGAAGTCCAAGATATTTGAGGGGAAAGGAATCAATTGAACATCCCAACATAGCTGCTACCCTATGCACATGACTATCATTCAAATTAATACCCACAACACAGCTTTTGCTAAGATTGACCTTGAGGCCCGACACTATTTCAAAAATTCTCAGAATCTTCGGTGTTAGAATTTACCATAAACCTACCACCACTACCACTTCACCTACACCTATATCTCCTTATATGTATTATTGATTGATTGATTACAAGATTGTTGTGTATATATTTTGTACAAGAATGCCTATTATATAGGAGATGATTCTGGAGTAGGTGAGGAGTGAGTGGTGGAGAGTAGGTGAAGTGGAGGTGGTAGTGGTGTAGTGGGTTAGGTTTAGTGGAGTAGGTGAGGTGGTAGTGGTGGTAGGTTTATGGTAAATTCTAACATTCGGCAAACTCCCCACCTTACTTTCCTCCTTAGATGAGAAAAAAATAGTATCATCCGCAAATTGTAAGTGAGTAACACCTATCCTATCCCTTCCCACCACAAACCCCTCAATGACCCCCTTATCCCTAGCTAAATCAATAATCCTACCCAACACATCAGCAACTAAAATAAACAAAAATGGTGATAAAGGATCACCCTGTCTTAGACCCCTGGATGCTTGGAAAAAATCCCCCGCCTTGCCATTCACAATGATTGCCATATTGCATGACGACAAGCACCCCCAAATCCACTTCCTCCATCTAACACCAAACCCCTTCCTTTCCAAAACAAAATCCACAAAGCCCCAATCAACATAGTCATATGCCTTCTCAAAATCTACCTTAAATACAATACCCTCCTTACGTAGTCCCCTATACTCCTCCACAACCTCGTTAGCCACTAAGACTACATCCAAAATCTGCCAACCCTGCACGAACGCACCTTGTGCCGAAGAAATTGTTCCCCCCAGGACAACTCTTAGTCTCCTAGAAAGCACTTTAGCTAAAATTTTATAAAGAGATGTGACCAAGCTAATAGGTCTAAAATCCCCAATCTTGATCGACTTCTCCTTCTTGGGAATTAGACAAATGAAGGATGCATTGGTGCACAAATTAACCTGCCCACTCTCAAAGAACTCAAAAAATACCCTCATAAGATCCATTTTTACAATTTCCCAACAATCCTGAAATACTGCCATTGAAAAACCATCTGGGTCTGGAGCTTTGTCTCTGTTGCACTCAAATACAGCCTGTCTCACCTCATCTTCGTCAAAGGGTCTTTCCAGCCAATTAGCAGACGCTAAATCCACTGGGACCCAATTAACGCAAAACTTGCATTCTTAACAATGCAACTGAAGATTCATACACTATTTTACTTTTTCAAAATAAAAAACTCAAACATGTTCTTTTCTTCCTGCCAAGTTCCATCAGATAGTTCTTAGAACTTCCCAAAAAAGTTATTAATATTATCTAATGGTGCTTACATAAACTCCTCCTAGTTTCTCATGCAATAAAAACATTTTTATATAAACGATGAATGACGAGAATTAGAAGGCTATCTTGCATTTTCCAATGGAAGTTGATGAGAGAAAATGACATAAAGTACCTGGCAATGTCTAATGCAAAGTTGATAGCTGTTGATGGACTAAGTGCCCCCTTCTCCTTTAGATACTGATGAAGGTCACCCTAAAACAACAAATTCATTAATGCCATAATTTAGCACAGAAAAATTACTTTTATGAGAATAAAAATTATGCTCCAAAACACACACACACACAAATAATAATAATTATGCATTCGTTTACCCCTCGTAGGTACTCGGTGATCAACATTAGAGGCTTTTTTTCAGTTACAGCTCCAAGGAATTGGACTATATTAGGATGGCGAAGCTTCACTAGCAAATTCACCTCATGCCTGAAGTCCTGACTGATTCAGAGAAGAAGAACATAAGGAATTTGAAGAGTGTACACAAAAGTATATAAAATACAACTAGACAACAATTAATTTGTTCTCTTCTTCAGGCAACCATGAAGCAAAATATATGTCAGTAAAATCCCTTTGTAAAGTTAATGGCAAGCATAATCTCTTTGAAAGAACATGTGATGTATCTATTAAAGAGAGTGCATGGCCGTTTTGAAACAATTAAAATGTCAGCTCTTGTGTCTCCTTTATAATTATCAAAGTTTAGTAAATAATGTAAACAACATCAATAACTCAAATTATCAACCCAGATCCTGTAGCTCATAAGTAAAAATTAAAAAATTCAAATCCAATGATAAGCAATTGAGAAAAAGATCATGGAACTCACATCACTAATCTATCATCTGAAAGATTTGGAAGAATGCGTTTGATAGCTACCGGTGTTCCACGCCAACATGCTTTTAAAATCTCACCAAAAGATCCCTACTAGCATCAGAGCACTATCCAGTAAGAGTAAATCATGCAGATAAAAATTGAAGTATGCTAACAGCATTAATGCTGAAAGGCAAAGAATAAATGGAATTCAAAGAATTCTATGTGTGTTAAAAATGATGTAATATTGATTGATTGATATCTTACAAGATTCATTAATGCTGAAAGGCAAAGAATAAATGGAATTCAAAGAATTCTATGTGCTTCATATTTAACTTGGTTCATATTCAAAGCTTTCAGATTCAAAATTCAATCAGTGTATCAACAATAATTACGCAACAAAAAAAGAAAAAGAAAAAGAAAAAGAAAAAGAAAAAGAAAAAAGCTCATACCTTTCCAATAGTATTTGAGTTTGAGAAGTCCAACTCAAAAGGGTCAATCTCCCAATCACACTTATTTGGTAGAGGAGGCGGAACAGGCCTCGGTTCAAAATGACTTCCACTTTGGCCCTGCAGCATAATCTAGGACATTAGAGCCCACCAAGAGCATATATTTCCAGAATCAAGAAGGAACAATAGCATCTTCATGAAGTAATCTCGTATTATATAGTATAGCATCAATAAATCAGAGATTAAGAACTGATGCAGTATGTCTAATATATGTGCAGGTATGTATAATTGAAGTCAGTCACTGAAAATTGATTATTTTCCGTGTGGAAAGTCTCATGTACGGCCTCCAAAAGATAACACATGTTGGTTTACATGCATCATCACTTTACAGAGAGAGAATTTAATTTTGTATAGTTTTATTCTCATCTTATGTGCCCATATAAAATTATGTTTTTTCCTACTTGATACACCTGGTTCTCCTTCTAAATGTCCTGACTGGTTGGTACTGAATTGAAAGCACAAAAATTACCTCCCCGTAACACCTTCAAAACTGAGGTCACAAGATTCTGCATCAATTGGTAACAATCCCAACAACATAATCTAATAAAACTCATTAGTTGTTCAAAATTACATTAGATCCAGAAGCTGCCTGTTCTAACCACATCCATCAAGTCCACTTGAAGATTCTGAGTACAATTTTGCAGGAGACCTGCTGGTTTTTAGACTAAAGGAGAAAATTTTCCATCTGTAATTACGCTTGTAGAAATTTGAGTCATATATACTAAACAACTGTTTTCACATCTAAAAGTAAATAATACGAGTACCTATCCCAAAGTTGAAATTGCAGTTCCATTCCAACATAATGTCCACGGACAATGTTAGCCAACTTCTGATAAATAACTTCTCGAAAGATAACCAATGAATAGCATCAAAGGAATTACACTAAATAATGATTCAAAAGCAACAAACAAATACAAGAAGGCACAATGACTGCTTCAAATTGCCTGTAACATCTTAAAGTCCAAACTCATACGTCACAACTCTCTACTAAAGAAACCAATGGAGTTGGCATTCATTACACATGCATTTAATTTGGGATATAATGAGATTGTGATTGAAGGTGATTCATTAGTTGGTATTCAAGATCTACAAGGCAAGCAAGCAAAATACGGGGTGGATCATGATTGAAGGTGATTCCTTAATTGTCATTCACTATCTCAAAGGAAAGCAAAATATGGTAGGCCTAAAGTAAATAAATTCATATAATTTTTTATTACTGCATCCAATATCAATTTATGTCTTTCCCTCCTCCTAATATTTCCACTTATGGTGATCATATCACTCTTCCTTATCACTACATCTACAAGTCTGCTTTGTATATGATCAAACATCTTAGCATGTTATTTCTCAACTTATCTTTAATTGGTGCTACTCTCACCATTTCGCAAATATTTTCATTTCTAATTCTGTCTTTTCTAGTCTTACTATACACCCATCTAAACATCCTCATCTCAACCACACTCATTTTGTGAACGTGTTGTTTCTTACTCTCAATTAGACAGAGCGATTATCCTATAGTAGAGCTCAAACAGCAAAGAGTAGAGTGTAAATAAAGTTGACCTTACGGTCCACTGATAATTCTAAAAAATAATTGCGAGAAATGCTAATGAATAATAACAGACACCATAATGTTTGTAACTTACTCTTTTACGCTCAAACACAAGCTTCAATGTACACAATTATTAGCAATCTAGTTTCACAGTTCTGTGAAATAGCCACCAGCTATACCCAGCTTGTCAAGAATTGTTAAGGGGCAAAAAATAATGAAATAATAGGAATTTACAACTTTAAATATGTATATTCAATATTCATAATATGCAGAAGAAGAAGACGAAGAAAAGTAAACTAAAACACAACACAAGCATGTTGCCAAAAAGCGTAAAGTTAATATTAAATGCTCAAAATTTTTAAAAACATTTTAAAAACAAATAATAATAAAATGAGCGGAAGAGAAAGCATTGAACTTACATAGGACAGACCACCGTATGACTTTAACAACTCAATCATAGAATGTTTTTTAGCTCCTTCTGCATCAGCTAGAGGCTGTCATGACAAATACAAAGTTCAGAAAGCAAACTCTCCAGTGTTGTTATAGGCAACAAAGCTCAATGAAGATTGTAGAATGAATATGAAATAGACTTGTGGAAAAAACAATACATAATGGAAAAGAATGACCATTGTATTGAAAAATGGGACGCAGATCCTAATGAGCTCAGACTGCTTATCAAGCTCATTTGGCAACACCATAAATAAGTTGCTTATTAGCTTATTTGGGTCACATCACTTCTCTACTTTTTTGCATGCCTTTTTGTAATAAGCAAAAAAGCCAGTTTATAAGCCATACTAAAAAAATGGTGTTAGAATTTACCACTCACCTACTACCTCCACTATCTTTCTCCACACCTACCACCTCCACTATACCACTCACCTACTACCTCCACTATTTTTCTCCACACCTACCACCTCCACTATCACACACTCCACTACCATCTTCTCCTCTATATATAGGAGTTGTAATATACAGAATATATCAATCTTGTAATACGATATCAATATAAATCAATCAATAATACATACAATTTATTCTCTCTCTATTTCTCTTTATACATTAAATTTTACAAATGGCAATGAAGGCGCAAGCGGTAGACAACAAACAAGCAGGTTTAAATTCATTTTTTGTATGAAAACAAACAAAAGGCTCCATTTAAATGAGAATTTGAATTTTCAAATAAAGGGACTTACGTAATTGAAGGTAGAGTGTAAGAAATAGATGTAGTATTGATTGATTTATATTGATATCTATTACAATGATTCATGAATCCTATATATAGAAGAGGGTGAGTGTGTAGTAGGTAAGGAGTAGGTGAAGTGGAGGTGGTAGTGGTGTAGTGGGTTAGGTTTAGTGGAGTAGGTGAGGTGGTAGTGGTGTAGTGGGTTAGGTTTAGTGGAGTAGGTTTAAGTGGGTGAAGTAGGTGGAGAGTAGGTGGATTTTAACATAGAGTAATAATTCTAAGTGGAGGTTTGCATAGAGGTAGGAGAAATAAATTTCATGAAGATTCTTCTACAAGTATAATCTTTTAGGGAATGATCCAAATAATTATATTCACCATGTTATTTCAAATACCTCAATCTAAAGTTCTCAAATTCATTCTTGAAATGTAGACCTAAAATATTACATTGGTCATGCTCCTTGAATAAGTGACACCCTATGAAGCACGGATATGGGTATCTTGATACCGCAACACCTAAAAAAAATATGATACGGGTATGATCTATGAAGCACGGACATCTCTCCGGAGGTCACATACAGGTGTTTGACATATATCAGACACGGACACACGCCGGACACGCTCTGGACACGTGTCAGACATGCTAGAAAGAGTTGGACACGTGGGGACACTTTGGACACGCTGTGGACACTCTAGGGATACATTGTGGATAGGCAAGGGACATCCTAAGGACACTCTAGGGACGCGCTAAGTACTATTTTTTTCAAAAAAAATTAAAATTTTTAATTTTTTTACTAAAATAGCATACTTAAGATTGATAAATTTGATAAAGTTAAATATTTGACCAAAAAAAAAATATTAAATATTTAAAAATATATATATACAATTAAAATATATGTTTTGAACGTGTCTCCAACATGTCATGTCCTGCATTTTTTGAAAATTTACGTGTCCGTGTGTCTATGTGTCCCTGTCGTATCGCTTGTCCATGTCTGTGCTTGTTAGGGTATGATTTGGGATACATCCATAAAATATTTTTTTTTCAATTTGAAGTAATGCATGATATATAACAATTAGAAAATCAAATGCAAAAAGTAGTTAAAGCAAGGTACAAACTAGATTTTATGCAAAATTAGTTCAAGATCCAACCTGAAAATCAAAGTTCACTGCCAAAAGCAAGTTCCATTCAGCTGGTTTAATGCCATTAAATTAAAAAAGCTACAAACCACAGAAATTTGCAAATTTGCTGAGATTCAATATGACCTTTAATAAAAGAATCCTTCTCTATGATTTGAAAATTTGCAGTGATACTCTTCATTTGTTTTATTTAAAAATAGAAAATTTCATTTAAGTCTCGTTGTACCCGTGTAAGTATTCTGTACATACCCAAGACGTACCTGAGATGTACCCAACAATGAATTATGTTTTTTAATTTTATAAAATAAATACATATTTCACATACCTAGTACACATACCAAATCACTTCATTTCAAATCCATAGATCAAAATGCAACTAAATATGTATCAGCAAATTATTCAAAATGCTTAAACATATAATAGCAATTGCTTTCTTCCAAGATCCAGTATGAAGTAAGGAAAACCAAGTATCACCTGCATGTTCATTGAAACAAATAAGACAGCTTGTGATCTCTGTGGAACTCAGAATAACATTAAGGTCTACCTTGTATGGGAAAAATTTGTTAAAGACTATGGAAGCTCATATTTAAATTTAAAAATATTTAAAATTTTCAAAAACTAATTAAATGTGATATAAACTAAAACATTGCAAATGTATGTTTAAGAATGAAAAGATGAAGAATGAAGATGAATAGAAATCATTTGTAAAATTTTGAATATCTGAATCAGTTTTCTTACATGGGTAGTTTTCAAATTGTCGTGGGCATTTTCAGAAAAGTAAAAAAACGTGACAGAAGAGTGCTCACAAAAACAACCTTGTAGGCTTTTATATAATAGTATAGATGAATGCAACCCCATAATTTGCTCCCCTAAAACAAAAAGCTCGTCTTTTTCCTCCCCTCCACATAATTTGCATAATTGCCACTAAATTCTTTGTCCAAATCTCTAAACAAGAAAAGAAAACGACAATGGAGGTTTTTCAAGTGGCCACAGGGTAGCCGCTTCATACCTCGTTATTGAAGAGCTCTCTGCTAATCAATAATTATTAATTACATTACAAGAGCTTAAATAACACTATGCCAATAGAGTTCTACATGGTACGTAGTGACATATATTATAAGGCAAACCCATTTTACCCTTGTGGTTTGGCTCTAGAGCACTTCACCACATTTAAAAATAGGCACTTTGCCCTCATGTGATTTTGGACCAAAATGTACCAATTTCATCCAAATTAATGGAAATTGTACCACAAGTGCCTAATTGATGAGTTGGCATGAAAAAAAGTTGAAGTTAAAGTCAAATCTCAATGCAAAAAGACAATTCTATCCTTATCTTCATCTTTCCCAAATCAATATAAAAATCCTCACCAAACCCTAGCCCTAATCAAGAAGAAGGAAAGCAGCAGTTGCATTTTCCCAGCCACCCCATCTCCCCTTCTTCATCATCCCTCTCCCCTCTGGTTCTCCGACCCAACAACTTCAGAAAGAACCTCACAAGGTGGATCCTTTCTCTACAGTGGCATTACTTGACCTCACAGCAGTTGCAAGACTTGGCCTCACATGTTGTAATTGAATGCCCTTTCTCTACCGTGGCATTACCGCCCTTTCCTCTACCTCCACCAGCTCTCCTCCTGATTTTGTTAATGTGCATTGGTCAAAATTTAGGAATGACAACTAATTTTGATTAATTTTGCTTTTGGAATTCACATGCAATTCATAAGCTCTTTTGATGTTGATCAGAGCGAGTAATCCCAAAAAAACACATTTAGAGAAGTCTAGCAAAACAACTAAATTATGTCAGAATTTTTATTTAAACAATCAATTTCTGGGTTTGGAATGCAGCAAACTTGAATGATTTCTTTTGGCTAGAAGTTGATGAGATCCCACCAACACTAATTCTAATTCTATTGCTTTTTCTTCTCTTCCCATAATTATTTCTATACAGACTGTCAAAAAACTGTGCAATGCTCTTGGATAGTGAAATCCATAAGAAACTGCTCATGGCCCTTTTGCTATTGATCTGCAAGCTTGCTATTGTGTAGTAAGAAGCCTTAGGGAGCCATCAAACTTCACTTTCCATTTGTTCTCTTCCGGTTTTCACTCAACAACCAAACAAGAAGGAGATTGTAACATTTTTTTTCCCCGGAAAGCACCTATGGCAAAGAAGCAGAAATCCTAGGTTTTCCGGAGGAACAAGAAAATAAGTGTTACATGCGCGCGCGCGCGCGTGTACGAAACTAGTCAATCGTTATTGCTATTGAGGTTATTGAATCCGGTGGTGGGGGTGGTGGTGGGTTGAATATGGCAATGGTGATTGACACTGAGTCGGGAGGGAGGGAGAAATGTTGAGGGTATAAAAGTTTATTTTAACAGTGTTAAGATGGCACTTTAATCTAAAATCACGTTCGACCATTTTCACTATTTTTAAATGTTAGATTAGAAAAGTAAAGTGCAAAAGCGCCAATACCACAAGGAGGCAAATGAGATTTTGCCCTATATATTATACATACACACATTATACACAACAACAACAGAAAAAAACAGCTTTCTGCATTAAAAACCAACCCTTCCCTAATGATGAAAACACACACCAATGAACAATTAACTCAAAACAACAAAAAAACAAACAAAGTCTACAAAAACGTACATTATCGCGTATATATGAATATAAGTGATTACCGTGTTCTTCCAACGATCTTGGGCATTGACATCAGCTCCGTATTCAATCAAACACTTGGCGACATCGATCCAGCCATGAAGAGAGGCGACGTGGAGAGGAGTCCGACTATCGTAATCCCTAGCTTGAACCAGAGACCGATCTTCCTCCAACAACTTCCGGACGGAAGTGACGTCGTTCTGGTGAGCGTGCCAGAGTATGAGAGACGTCCTGCTCACCCTCGCCTTCACCTTGTCCTTCTTTTCCTCCGCCGACGACGACGAATCTCCGGCGTCGCTGCCACTCATTGAACGAATAGATTTTGATTGAATGTTGGGATTTTGATTTTCAGAGTTTGTTTTCTGTGATTTTGTTGTTGTCAATACAAAATCAAAATTTGTGTTTTCTTTTTTTCATATTTGTTGTTGGAAGTGTGTGCGTGTGTGTGTGTGTGTGTGTGGGTGTGGATGGGAGGCAGTGTGACATGAAACGAATGCCGGTGGTGGGAAAGGGGGCTCAAACGTGGGCGTTACTCTGTTTTACTTTTTCAACTGAATTCGATTCGCTTGACTAAAAAATTCACTTAATTTTTAGGATATATTAAAATCAATCATTCGTAACACCTATATCTACCAAATAAATTTAAAAACTAAGACTAAAGTTTGACCTTTTTAAAAAAAATAAAAAAATCACTATCTAACTCACATTACATCTCTACCACATCACTTCAAACTCAACTCATATTTCATAAAAAATTAAAAAATACACTTATTTAGAACATTCCAAACAACCCTATATCATCTTTCATAATATTTTTTTATGCTAAAAACCTTCAATATTATTTTTTAATTGTTTTAAATTAATTACATTTGAAGTCTTCAAAAGATCATATTCATTTGGTTATCAAAATTTAATATTTAAATTATATTGATTTATTTTTAAATGTATAAAAATATTTTAATTTGATACTTTATATTTAAATTATATTAATTTGATTCTTAATATAAATATTAACAATTAAAATGATATAAAATTTAAATTTTAAAGACCAAAAACATAATTAAGAATTAATTACCTAAAAGTTCTATTTATAAATGTTATGGTAGCTAAGGCCCTATTTAAAAAATTTTGAACCAATAAATCCTGTTTAGTAAAAGTGAAATTATTATCAGTTTTTCTCAATTTTTAAAACTAAAAATATTATCAATTTTACATAGTAAATTTTCAAATAATTCTTTCACTAACTGACAAAAAAACAGAATATGGATTAAAAGTTTTTGTTTTTTTACTTATTAGTTTGATTCAACTATTTAATAAAACCGAAAACATTATTCAACTTGCTTGGTTCCATTTTTTCAAAAACACTTTTCAGAAAATTCTACTTTTTTATTTTTAGCATTTTTTTGTTTTTATTGAATTTTTTTAATATTTTAAGCAATTTTTTTACTTTTTAAATACACCTAACATAAATACATCTAAAAAGTAAAAAAAATTGTAAAAAAAATCACTAAATACCAAAAATGCAAAAAAAAAAATAAATACAAGAATTCAGTACATTTTTTGTATTTTTTATATATTTATTAATTTTTTTAAATATTTTTTCACAAATTTTTTACTTTTTAGATACATTTAAGTAAAGTGCATCTAGAAAAATAAAAAAAATGTTTAAAATTATAAAAATAATCACTAAAAATAAAAAAACACAAAAACCAAAAATAATCACTAAAATCTTTTTTAAAAATACACTAAATACCAAAAAATACAACAACAAAAAAGAAAGAAAGAAAATTCAGTACATTTTTGTATTTTTGTGTATTTATTAATTTTTTTAAATATTTTTTCACAAATATTTTACTATTTAGATATATCCAAATAATGTGCATCTAAAAAAGTAAAAAAATGCTTAAAATTTAAAAAATATTCATTTAAAACAAAAAAAAAACATTTTTCAGAAAACCGAAATCAAACACAATAATTAGTTTTTTTTCTTTTTGCACATAATTTTTTTAAATTTATTTAATTTGAAATTGATGTTTTAAAGTTTTGAAGATCAAAATAATTTATAAATAATCATAAATAATAAACAATCATTATTTTGAATGGCAATTCCGACTATTAAAAATTTAATGGGACTTGAAGGTCAAAAAAAATTTATAAGTTCATAAATTAAAACTTATATATAAATGTTCTTATAATTAACCCCCCTTTTTTTTTCCATACTCAATTCCTTTAAATATTTACCTGTAGAGAATAGTAATTAAAAATAAATAAAAAATTATATGAACCGAGATAATATGTAATTTGTGTATAAGTAGAAAGTCTTGATCTATGGAAGAAAAATTGAAGCTGTTAGCAGTAATGGTTAAGTTCCAAAAGAGATGGTAGGGATCTCTTAAAAAAAAAAAAAAGAATCTCAAACATTGTTGTTAATAAATATTATTCTTAATTATTCCTCATCCTGACTTCCGTCCAGCTTACGTCCAATGAACTTCTTTCATAATCCTGACTTCCGTCCAGCTTACGTCCAATGAACTTCTTTCATAATGACATGAAATTGTAGCAATTTTCAAGTTGTGCATTTCACCATTTGACTTGGTCTTATTGTATTGAGAAAGATAGAGATAGATAGTATCATCTTGCTGATGATGCTCCCCCGTTTACCAGGTTTTAAATGCTAACTTTTCTGTAAAGTTATCAACTTCGTTTGGTTTTAGATTTTTGGTTTATATAAAAAAATAAAATTAAATACATAAGTTAATAAAATAAAATATTACATTTAAAATATAATTATTATATTTTTTCTTTTATAAAAATCAAAAAAATCAAAAAATCAAACTAAACGAGGTTAAAAGAGTACTAACATAAAAAACACTAACTAAAAAAGTCAATGCGAAACGAAGGCTTAATCTCCTCGCACGGAATGGGCATCAGCTTCAATATATGGCCTTATGACTTTGAGAAAAAATGTGTTATTGATAAACAGTCACCCAAATTATATATATATATATATATATATAAAATGAGATTCAACTTGATTTTGGGAGATGAGTTTGGGAGATAAAAAGTACGAAAAGTTATTTGGTTTGGTTTTTTTGGAAAGATGTTTTGGAAAATTATTTTGAGAGAGAGTTTTGGAAAAAGTGATTGATTTGATGTGTATGAGAGAGAGATTTGTTTGGAAAACTTGTTTGGTTTACAAGTTTTGGGAAATTTTTTTGAGAAAATTTATTTGGTTTGAGTTTTTCTGAAAACTCATTTGTAGAGAAATTTTCCCAAAAAGTTTTGGGAAATTCAAACCAAACGAACCCTTAATCTCTTAGTGAGGTGCTAAAATTTTGATGAAACTGAATTAATTTTGATTAATTTATAATAAATAAAAATTTCAAAATCCATGGAGTCAACTAATGAACCAGATCAGAGGATTGTTGATTCCTTAGCACTCAAAAGAACGGTCTAACCAAGGGATTTTTCCTCAGAAATGAAGGATATGAATATTGCTACCACAACTCCTTTTATTTTGTATTTTATTTTTTGGAAAAATCAAAGAAGAAAACTCTCTTAATTGCTCAAAGTCAGAAACGCAGCTGATGGTGGTTTTATAAGGTCTTTTTTTTAAATAAAAAAACAAAAAATCTAAGGGTCCAACAAAAGCAGAGAGGTGGGATGGGGGGCAAAGAGAACTTCTTTTTTTTTTTTTTTTTCCTACTATGTATTTCTTAAATAATAATTGAGCTGAAAGGCAAATTTATAATAAAAAAATTAGGGCCCTAATGGCAGAGTTAGGAAATTAAGTTAGAGGGAACACTTATTGATTATAATTGTTTATTTTTAAAAAAAATCGTGATCAACATTAAGATAATAATAATTTTATGAGCTAAATTTAAACATAAGAAATTAAAAATCATTATTAATAAGAACAAATCAAAATTTTATAATAGTGTATAATAGCTCGGTGTGAGATGGTGATGTAAGTTTGTAATTTTAGCACAAAAAATTATGGATCAAAATTCTTAAATTTTGGGCAATTTACATATACCTCCCTTGACGTTTGGTTAAATTACAGATACCCCCTGAGGTTTCGAAAATTACATCCCGCTCCCTAAGGTTTGTATTTTCATAACAATTTGCCCCATGAGGTTTAAATTTCATAACAAATTACCCCCTAATTTGTTATGCAAATATAGCATTCAGAGGGAAATTTGTAATTTCTCAAACCTCAGGGGTATTTGTAATTTAGCCAAATCTCAAGGGGGGTATATGTAATTTGCCCTAGAGATAATATGACTTATAAATGATGTGTTTTGAATAGAAATTATCAAATAGTCTTAGAGTACTATATGGTGTTGCCTATGTGATATTCAAAGCATGAGAAATCACAAATTACACTAAGTAGCTTGTTAACTACCTGAAAATAATGAGTTAATTATATTCAATCCATAAGATTTCCTACTACACTATTGGTTTAGACTACTACATAAATAATACCATATAGTGTTCTCAAGGTATCAAATAACTACTTATTATGAATAATACAATAAATCTTTAACTAAAGAACATGTTAAAAGAAAAAAAATACATTTTAATATGACCACAAAACAAAAACAAAAAAAAATTCAAAATTGAGAAGAGACATGGCTCCGCCTCTGTGTTTAATCTTCTCTCTCTTTCGCTCTCTCTCTCTACAAGTGAAACAAGAACCATGGCAGATCTTATTTCTCTCTCTCAAATCTGTTCAATTTCCTTGCAAATCACAACTAGAAAAACTAAAAATATCTTCAACGTTCAGTGGATGAAACTTTTCGACTCTTCTCTTCTTCACTATTCTTCTTCTTCACATCATTGTTTTCCTCTCTGTTTTTCACTTTCTTCTCAACCACTCGTCAAAGCTCGATCACGACATCGGCGATGGAGTAGAACTTCTGCATCTGTATAATCGGGATCCAACTCAGTCGCCGCCGGTGGATCGCAATGAACGCCGAATCGATCCTCTACTGCCCTCAAGCTGTTTCAGGTAACAAAATATTTGTATTCCTAATTTCTTAGGCTTATTCAATTCATCTCTTTCTTGTATGGCCCTTTCTTTCTCATCAGTATGACAGTCCAAGAAGAGAGGCAAATAAAAAATAGCTCAGGAAAGGCTGAAAGGCCAAAGAAATTTCAAAATTTCTCTGGAGATGTAACGTTATGGAAAGGCAGAGAAATTTCTCTAGAGAGTGGGAAGTATATGGAAGACAGATAAATTTGAAATTTCTTTGGAGAGTCCATGAAAGGTTAGGGAGGCCAGAGAAATTTAAAATTTCTTTGGAGAGGTAATTTTGTGGGAAGACCGGTGAAGGTAGAGAAATTGTCAAATTTTTCTGGAGTGTTGAGCTCACAAGAGGCAAGAAGAGTAAAGAAATTTTGTGGAAAGACAGAGATATTTCTTTAGGAGAGTGGGAAGTATATAGAAGGCAGAGAAATTTAGAGAAAGGAATGACATAGAAATTTATAGTGGGAAGTTTAGGGAAGGTCAGAGAATTTAAAATTTCTCTGGACCAATTTTCTCTGTGACGTGAATTTTCTCTAGATCAACTTGAGGGACCTTAGACATTATTAAAATATTAAATGTTCTTTATGTTATAAAATCTTAATACTAGGGACCTTAAAAAAAATCTCCTAAATTATATTAATTTGATTCTTAATATAAATATTAGCGACTAAAATAATACAAAATTCAAATTTTAAAGATCAAAAATATAATTAATCTTTTTTTGGGTCACTCAATATACATCAATAATAGTTAATAGGAGTTAAATGTTAATCAAAATGAAAAAACAACAAAGGATACCAACGTCTTCCCCTATGGAGTTAAACTCACAATTTCACACTATAAAATGGTGTTATATAACAATTCAGGCAACTATCCATACTCAATACCTTTAAATATTTAACAACAGAGAATAGTAATTAAAAATAAATAAAATATTATATGAACCGAGATAATATATAATGTATGTGCACAAGTAGAAGGTCTCGATCTAAAGAAGAAAAAAAAATCAAAGTTATTAGCAACACTCTTGATAAACATGTTATTAGTAAATGCACATAGCAGCCAGCGACTTTTTTTTACCCCACTAGCATATAAATTAGGAGATTTAATTTTTTGACTAAATCATATTACTAGTCAGTGGATAATTAATGTAATTGTTCTAGTCTTGAAGCTAATTATTGACCAATACTATAATACAACTCGCAATATATAGATAGTGAATAATAATAATAATAATAATAATAGTGTGATTTATAAATATTATTCTTAATTATTCCTCATCCTGACTTCCTTACAGCTTAAGTTCAATGAACTTCTTTCATAATGACACGAAATTGTACCGTTTGACTTCGGCCTTTGGAATTTTATTGTATTGAGAAAGATAGGGATAAATAGTATTTATCTTGCTGATGATGCTCAACCGTTTACCAGGTTTCAATTGCTAGCTTTCCTGTTAAGTTGTCGACTTCTTTAATCTTCTTGCACTGAATAGGCATCAGCTTCAATACATGGTCTTACAACTTTGAGAAAATTTGTGCATCCCTTCTTACTAAATTACAACGCTATAAGAATTATGCTCTCATGCATATACATATATATATATATATATATTAAATGAGATTCAAAGTGGTCTTTTGGCAACATGGTAAACAGTCACGTTTTTAACTTGGTTCTAAAAAAGCTACATTAGCTTTTTTAGCAAAAAGTCATTTGGCAAGTTGAAAAAAAACTACATATAAAATTACAATTCTACCCTTTATATTATTTAAGGTTACACATGGATGGATGAAAATGTAAATTTTCTAAATTGGGTGAGGTAGCTTGATCATTTTATTATGATGTGACATCATAAATAAATATTAACCAGAAAAACCAAAAGCTGTTTTTTATCAACTTTCCAAATCACTTTCTAAAAAAGTCAAAAAGCTTGATAAAAAGCTAAAAGCTAACTTTTTACCATCTCTTAGTGAGGTGCTCTCTTAGTGAGGTGCTAAAATTTTGATGAAACTGAATTAATTTTGATTAATTTATAATAAATAAAATTTACAAAACCCATGAAGTCAACTAATGAACCAGAGGATTGTTGATTCCTTAGCACTCAAAAGGCCGGTATAACCAAGGGATTTTTCTTCAGAAAGTCATGAATATTGCTACGACAACCCCCTTTATTTTGTGTTTTATTTTATGAAAAATCAAAGAAGAAAACTCCTCTAATTGCTCAAAGTCAGCAACGCAGCTGATGGTGGTTATTATAAGGTCTTTCTTTAAATAAATAAATAAAATCTAAAAGTCCAACAAAAGCAGAGAGGTTGAATATGGGGGCAAAGAGAACCCTTTTTTTTTCTTTTTTTTTTTTGGGGGGGGGGGGGGGGACTCTTAAATAATAATTGAACTGAAAGGCAAATTTGTAATAAAAAAAATTAGGGTGATTTCTACAAATTTAAATATCTGTCACCTCCCTTCTACTGCCATACATCGGCCTCTTCCTCTTAGGGTTGGGGTGCTGGTTCACGACTGTATGGGTTGGGGTAAGGGAATGGTAAGGGGCAATCACATCGGAGGAAGTCGCGGTTGTGGTAATCAGATGCAACGGTAGATTGAAAGGTGAGGAAAGAGGTGTAAAGAGAAGATTGAATGTTGTGTAATATTATAAACTGAAAATATAAAATTTTGGAAAGAGGTAATTTAAAAAGCAAGTGTAGTGAGGTAAAAGTGTCATGTAAATAAAAACTCCCATTCTCGTTATCCAATAGTGATGGGTTACACAACCAACCAAAGGGAGGGGTCCTGCCAACTTTTTCTTTTGCATGACCTCCCAACCCAGTCTTGATTCCAGGCATCTTATGTGGTCATAAACTTGTGCTAATGGAGTCCAAGTACAAGACCTCCACAAATGTGCCCCCAAATTGCTTGATTATTCTAAAATATTATAGTGCCACATAACAAAAAAATATATATATTTAAACAAATGGATTTGATAACACATTTACCATAAAATCTATACCACCCATGCAGAGCAACTTTTCACACTATGTCCTCTTGGTCCTCAAGGGATCGCTTTCGAGCCTTCAAGTTAAGCTTGAGGCTTTCAGGCAGAGGCGGCGTCCTCCCTCTACGAAACAGAACTGCAAGAGCCCTCATCATCCGGCAAAGATCAAATACCTGCAGACGCAGTATATGGAAATTTCATAGAGCAGCAACTAGGGGAGTTTCTACTTCCACACATTATTTTTGGAAAGTTGATTTCTGAACAAAACTATTTGGTTCGGAAATCAACTTCCAAACCAAAATTTCGGAAAATAAGTGTGAATTGAGATGTGGTGTGTGAAAATAGAAGCTTCTAGCAAGGCAGACGTGACGATTGCAGCATTACTTACTGAAGACGCTTCTATCTCTGCAACACCTTCACAACCTTGACCACCTCCCTCCAGCAAGTCACAATATTTTGCAGCTTCGTTCTGGTCTTCAAACACCTGTAGCAGCAATGAAATCAAAAACAAAATATGAACGCTGAATTTCAAACATTTAGATTATAGAAGAACCTTTGCATGTTTTCAGAAAATAATGTACAAAATAGTAGCATGCTTCCCAGCATGAGTCGAGCTAGGTAGTATTGAGTGGGTTCAAGTGAACCCAGTGAACATCTAAAAAAAAAAACTTGAGGTATCCATAAATTGACATCATTGAAATAGTTAAAAAACAGAGTAATGCTACACTCACCATATTTTACTTATTCTCTAATGTGACATAGCTCTTAATAGTTGACTATAAAAAGTCTCATATGTGCAATATATATATATGAATATGATATGACACATTAAACGGTAAACAAAACATTGTATAAAAAAGTATAGCATTATTGACATAAATCATAATGGTGGTGTCATTTTTATTCTTAAAAGTAGGACTTAGTTGTAAGTCACTCTTCCTTTAAGTATGGAATTCAAGTGTTTACAAGATTTTTTTTCCACCATCTCTAGGGCCAATGAAGCATCTATGCGCAATAAAGGTGTGCCAATAGCTGTGGATCAACAGAATCATGAATTAATATTGTTTTCATCATTAGCAATGCTTCAACACAAATTTGCACACTATCATCATTTTTGAGCCTGTAATTTTCTTTCAACTATACTAATCAGACCTTGATGAGTATCAATTACTAAGAATATAATTTTTGTAGAAAGCCATTCAGTAAATGAGCCTAGTTCAGAATGTTAGAATTTACCATAAACCTACTCTCCACCTACTTCACCCACTTAAAAATTTTTGTAGAAAGCCATTCAGTAAATGAGCCTAGTTCAGAAAATTGCAGACATCCACAGATAGTGACAGTAAAGATCTGAAGTTGTGGCTTGTTAACCTTGGCCTTTACCACCAGCTCCATTTACTGCTCCATTTTCTTTGATAGGTGTTTGGCCCATACATTCAAATGCAGGGCCATATACAAGGGAGCAATTTATTTCCCTAGAACAACCAAACGCACCACAAGTAGACTCAAATTACAAAGCCTTAAATTCAGCTTTTTAAATCCTACCAAAATACCTAGGCATTGTACCCATTACAGATTTTCTTTCTTTCTTTCTTTCGTTTCCTTCTTTGTCAACAAAACTTTCAACTACAGAGTAGAGAGACTTATAAGAATTTCAAAATTAATTGTTACTGCTCAAGGATCATACCGCATTTGAAGGTCTTAGGAACTTGCCCCAGACATTCAATGTAAAAAAAACATAGTAACACAACAGAGCTTGTACTACAAATTACAATACACGAAATATTAAGCAAAGGGTACATGTTAGAACTTACGAGCACTCCCTCTCTGACATCCTCAACAAGCATCTGAAACTTTGTGCCAGTCCTCGACTGCTTGGCCTGATTTCCAATTCCAGATCTCCACTTTCCTCCTTTGGAAAACAACAATCCAAGCTCTCTTTCGACTTCACTGTCATGAAGAATGTTTGTTGAGCTGGGCTATTGGTAACAATTATGCATGAAAAATAACATAAAACCAAGACAGACCTGCGATATCTTCGAGTTTTCATTGTGCATAACTGATTTTCCTTGTGGGTTAGTACGTATACAGGTTTTGAAGTTTCTCTCCATGGGTTGCTCTCTAACACTGAAAAAGAAGAACAGGAGACAAGAAATTGTGAGGCCTTCTGGAATGAAAACAAACATGACATTTGCATATTGATGAGCAACCTGGCCAAAATAATGGAGAAGTAAGACTGTCACTAAAATTTTGTGGGGTATATGGATTCCGCCAAGGACTATATGTGCCCATTCAAAGTCAGAGAGAGGGAGAGTAAACCGATTGCCAAATATTGGCAAAGCCAAACTTTGTCACATTTTTAAAAACTGACTGTATTCCCCTCTCAGAGTTGCAACTTCCACAAACCAAAACTCACAATAAGGTATTCTAAAGCTACACAAATTCTACAAATTACAAAAACTCAGTAACACTAAAGACATAATTACAAAAATCAAATTACACCAGTAATCACAATTTATCCATCTTCAAAAAATAATAAATCAAAAAATAAAAAGCTTGATATTTATCTGGATCAATGAGAGAAAAGAGTTTCAGTTGATCTAGGGTGAATCACGCAAAAATTAGTTGTATAATGGTAATATTGAAGTTGGTTATGTCAAAATGACAAACCACCATTGAAGTGAAACAAAATAACTTTTTCACACTGTCACGAGCCAAAAAATGAATTTGACAAAGCTATTTTGTCATTGACCATTGGAGTTGCTCTGATATACAGAGGTCTCACCTTCTTAACTTACCAACTACTTTTGCTTAAAAAAATAAACAGTGTGCAAAAAAGAACTAGTTTTGCTAATTATTTAAAGCCACTTTTGTAGTTAGATAATTGAATTGACTCTTGACAACACAACATATCAAGAAAAGGGGTTGGGGGGCAAATAAAACATAAGGAATTGAGAAAAGCTAGCAACTTCAATTCAATCATACTCCTCATTTCATCATTTTTTTATTTATTTAATTTTTTTATCTATGTTCTACAACGTTACTATTGCAATAACTAAAAAAGCGACTGAATACATAAGAAACCAAATTAAAAGCCAAAATTTCCAAAATTGGTAACGAATTAAAGCACTCACCATCGTAGCTGCTGCTATCAAATGTTTGTTGGAGGTGTCTACGCATATCATAAGCGCGGGACGAGACTCGTTCGACGAACTCATTAGAAGTCCCCGGAATCGTTCCGTCCAACCGAAGCGCCCTCTCCACCTCATCATCATCATCATGTTCGTCTTCACCCCTTCCCGGTCCTCCAGAGGTGGACTTGCAGGAGATCTCTACGATCCTCCTCCCACAAGGTTCAGGGGAGCAGGGAATGGTAAGGAAAGATGAGAGAGAAGAAAGACGGTGGTGGTGCATAGGGTGGTGAGCTGCGGCGGAGATCTGCCGCCGTCGATGGTGGTGGTGGTGGTGTTGGCGGACGTGATTACTCGGCGGAAGTACAATGGAAGGGCGCGAAACCGATGAAAGTGATTCCATCGGAGTTTTATACGTATGAAAACGGTGAATCACGGAGCAACCGTCAGAAATTTACAAATATATATATATATATATATATAGAGAGAGAGAGAGAGAGAGAGAGAGAGAGAGAGAGAATTGGGGGAGTTCTCGGCGTGAAAGACTGCGTAACTGAGGAAGAGAGAGAGAGAGAGAGAGAGAGAGAGGGGAAAGGGGAAGACGGAAGGAAGGAAAGGGGGGATGGGTTTGGATTTTGTGAATCGGAGGTGGGTTTGGCGCGGATATTTTTCTACTCTTATTTATAGGTGGGGCCCTGATTGGACTGGATCTAGTAGAATCCGACGAGTCACTAGTCAAACTCGGAGCCTCATAATTTCATTGACCCTTTTTTATCGTGGAAAATGTGAAAATTTTCTTGAATTCTCATGAGTTTGATTCCTCAAAATTGTTTGAATTCGATTCATTATAAATAAATAAGTTAATTTTTAACATATTTTAGATTTTGTTAAAACTTTTAAATTAAATTTAAACAATTAATTATTTATTCGATTTGATTCGATAAGTTTAAAATTATATAAAAAGATAAAATTAAAAATTTATTTAAAATAGATTTGAAAATTTAACGAACTTAGCTTAAACAAATTTTAGATTTCGCTAAAATTTTCAAATTAAATTTAAATAATTAAATGTTGGATATATTTATTACTCCTTATTAAAGAGAGGTTTGAAAGAGCGCAACTAGCAGGGATGACTCCCACTCTAAAATTTTAAATAAAAAAAGAAAAGAAAAAGAAATTCTTAAATGTAATAATATTAGTTATGAATATTTATAAATTATGTAAGTTCGTTTTTCTGAGATTTTATAAAAATTAATTAAATACTTCATAAGATTTCCTTAATTTATAGTGTATTTTCAAGTTACAATATTTACTTTTTAATTCCATGTATGCGTCTCTTTATTTTTATTTTCTTTTTCTTTTTCCTTCCTTATTGTTTCAATTCTCTATTCAACTCATTCTCTATTTTTTTGGATTTGAAGTGGCAAGATAGATGGCGATGGTGGTGATAGTAGCTAGCTTGTCAAGAATCAAGACCTCCTTCTTGTATTTTTTCTTTGTAGGGTCATTAGACTCACTTTTAGGCTCAATTTTGATAATTTGAATCGTTCATATTTTAAAATTTGTTCAGTATATCATACTTGTAAAAAATCAAGTTAATCGGATATCAGAAAGCATGTATTCGGAAAACTCTTTATTAAATTCTTTAAAAAAATAATTTTTAGTTCAAGTTTTCCGAACACATGCTTTCTGATATCCAATCAACTTGACTTTTTACAGATGTAATATACTGAACAAGTCTTAAAATATGAACGATTCGAATTATCAAAATTGGGCTTAAAAGTGAGCCCAATGGCCTTGCAGGTAGAAAATGTAAGAAGGGGATCCCGATTCGCTTAGCAATGTCAGTGGTGGGGAAGGATTGGAGATGGCAATGGAGGTGCGAAGATGGCGGACAGGGTCACGAGGGACCGAGTGGGGTGGTTAGGGATGGCAATGGGGTTAATGGGAGTGGATATTAATTCTCTATCCCTATTTCCCTATAATAAATTTTTCCCATTCTTCATTCCCCATGGGTATCACCCTCCCAATTTCCTAATGGGTTTGGATTTTTCCCAACCCACTTTAATCCCCATTTTTATTTTATTTTTATTTTTTATATTTAATGTTAACAATCACCTTTTTCTTTTCTTTTTTTTTAAGCTTCACAATAAAAGCTAAATATACCTTCAATCTTTTTTATTAGTAATACCAAGGTATTAGTAGTACCCTCCCTATCTCTCAAAACAAACAAGGTATTAGTAATACCAAGGTATTAGTAGTACCCTCCCTATCTCTCAAAACAAACAAGGTATTAGTAATACCAAGGTATTAGTAGTACCCTCCCTATCTCTCAAAACAAACAAGGTATTAGTAATACCAAGGTATTAGTTAGTCCCAAAGTATTAATAGTCCCTAGGCTATCTCTCAAAACAAACAACCCATATACTAATCCCAAGGTACTAGTAATCCTAATCCCCTTGCTATAACCCAAAACAAACGGGGCCAGAGAGGTTTGAGAGAGGGCAACTAGTAGGGATGACTCCCACTCTAAAATTTTAGGGCAAATTACATATACACCCCTCGAGATTTGACTAAATTACAGATACCCCCCTGAGGTTTCGGAAATTACATCCCGCCCCCTGAGGTTTGTATTTTCATAACAATTTGCCCCCTGAGGTTTATATTTCATAACAAATTACCCCCTAATTTCTTATGCAAATATAGCATTCAGGGGGGAATTCGTAATTTCTCAAACCTCAGGGGGGCATCTGTAATTTAGCCAAACCTCGAGGGGTGTATATGTAATTTGCCCAAAATTTTAAATAAAAAAAAAAAAGAAAAAGAAATTCTTAAATGTAATAATATTAGTTATGAATATTTATAAATTATGTAAGTTCGTTTTTCTGAGATTTTATAAAAATTAATTCAATACTTCATAAGGTTTTCTTAATTTATAGTGTATTTTCAAGTTATAATATTTATTTTTTAATTTCACGTATGTGTCTCTGTTGGCTTTTTGGCTTTTCGAAGGGTAATTGTGTAAATGTGAGCGTGCCAGCAAGGATCAATCAGTCCTTACAGAAATTGTGATTGCCAACCAATTATCAGACGATTGTGTTTTAGTTCTTTTCAGCCTCAATGAAGAGGACTTTTACTGGTGGCTTGACTTAGGAGAAATTAAGAGAGAAGACAGTAATATGAAGAACAATTGAAGTATTTCATAAAAATGAACACTTACAATGGTCCGAACTCAGCCTCGGAGAGGTTTACAACAGCAATCTACTTGAATCTACTTGAAGCTACTCCTATGAATCGAAATGCAGTGCGGGTATTTAAAGTGCAGGTATTTAAAGAACAGGTATTTAAAGTCTGGAAATGTAAAGACTGGAAAAGAAAATATATGAAGTAAATGACTGATTTGTATGATCTGAGTCCCTTTTTTTTTCTGGGGGCTGTCCTGCTATTTATACTCGTCAGTGATGACCTTCGAACTGCACTTCGAACCGTCGAACTGCTCCTCCATGATCGCTGATCATGCTCCCTTACAAGTAGCTCCATTACGCCATTACTGGCAGTTGAGCTTCCCTCTTGTACTTGGATTTGAATATGAGTAACCGTTGAAGACACGTCATCTAGCATCCCGTTATTTGATCTAGTGTTACTCAGATCATGTGAGGACCAATATTTATTGCCACGTGTACGATCAGGATTAAAGGCTTGAATAACCTTCCTTTATTACCCTTACTATGCCACGTGTCGAACTGTAACTGGCTTTTACAAAATATGTAGCCAACAGTCTCTTTATTTTTATTTTCTTTTTCTTTTTCCTTCCTTATTGTTTCAATTCTCTATTCAACTCATTCTCTATTTTTTTGGATTTGAAGTGGCAAGATAGATGGCGATGATGGTGATAGTAGCTAGCTTGTCAAGAATCAAGACCTCCTTCTTGCATCTCCTCCTTGTAGGGCCATTGGACTCACTTTTAGGCTTAATTTTGATAATTCGAACCGTTCATATTTTAAAATTTGTTCAGTATATCATACCTATAAAAAATCAAGTTGATCGGATATCAGAAAGCATGTATTCGGAAAACTCTTTATTAAATTCTTTAAAAAAATAGTTTTTAGTTCAAGTTTTACGAATATATGCTTTCTGATATCCGATCAACTTGATTTTTTACAGGTATGATATACTGAACAAGTCTTAAAATATGAACGGTTCGAATTATCAAAATTGGGCCTAAAAGTGGGCCCAATTTCCTTGCAAGTAGAAAATGCAAGGAGGGGATCCCGATTCGCTTGGCAATGTCAGTGGTGGGGAAGGACTGGAGATCGCAATGGAGGTGCGAAGATGGCGGGCAGGGTCACGAGGAACCGAGTGGGGTGGTAGGTTGCAGTGGACAACGACAATATAAAGGGAAGAGAGAGAATTTTGGCTAAAAAAGTATATGAACACTGAAAATTTTGTACATCGTGAGAGTAAAATGTTTGCATCAACACTGTTTCAATTACCGAAATTTTTACATCACTTTAATCTTCTTCTATTTTCTCCTCCATCTACTTTTTTCCACCGTCTAAAAATACACACAAAACTACCACCACCAAACCTAATATATCCCCCAGCCACCACAGACCAACTTCACTGACGCCCACAAGTAGTGAAAAACCAATCAAACAATTATTTTCCAATCTCCTTTCCAGCCACAAATCACAGTTTGTAAGAGGGGCTAAATGTTTGCATCAACACTGTTTCAATTACCGAAATTTTTACATCACTTTAATCTTCTTCTATTTTCTCCTCCATCTACTTTTTTCCACCGTCTAAAAATACACACAAAACTACCACCACCAAACCTAATATATCCCCCAGCCACCACAGACCAACATCACTGACGCCCACAAGTAGTGAAAAACCAATCAAACAATTATTTTCCAATCGCCTTTCCAGCCACAAATCACAGTTTACAACTGAAATTCCCAAGTAGTTTTAAGACCGTATTTAGATCATGAATTGAATAGGTATTTGTAGAAAGGAAAGAAAATCACCCATGATCTAAACTGTTACATCCAAGGATCTAAGACCGTAACATCCTTGCTTTTTCTAGTATTGGCCAAGACCCTTTTTCCGACGATAAACCAGTTTTGACAGAATGTTTTACTTGAGGGTTAGTAACATTTTATATCATAGCTAGCACCGTGACACACGCCACGCTAGATTGAAATAGAGATCCGACTTATAGGTTGGATTAAAGTGAGGGACGCTGCTGAACTAAGAAAAAGGTTACCATCAGTACAAACCAATTTTGAATAGTGAGTTTTCCCCAACGGTTGGTAACATAAGCATATGCCCCTACCAATGAAATACACTTAGCTGGATCATGGGTAGGGTAGCAAATGCTGATTCTATGTTCTGTGCAAGCCATCTTCATTGGCAAGGCTGCAAACGGATTGAGCTAAATATTCACATGTTCCACGTATAATTTGACTGAATGTTCAATTTTGGTTTGTTCATGTTTACCAAACTCAAGCTCGTTAAATGAAACATCCAAGCACACCCGTCTATATAGAAGAATATGACCAACTCAAAAGTGTGATTAATAAGTTTACAATACACTCAATATAATGGTGAAGCACCAAAACATACCAGATCCATTGTGAAAACATTATAAATACATAAAAAAGCATGTGTCATGTAGTTGATTGAGAACGATATGTACATGAAAAGAACAAAGAGCACAATTCGAATCCCAATTCATCATTCCATGACAATCAATGATGAGAAACTAGACATGGAAGTTAAGACCTTTTTGCTTTTGTCAATGGCATCGTCAATCCCATGAAGCTGCAAAACGAAGAAAATCATCAATCAGGTCGTCCACTATGGCAGTTGCATTATGTACATATTTGGTTTCGTGTCTTAAAGGAAAGGGTTTGGAAAGAATTCAATAGGAATATGTCATTCATTTCCAAACGAGGCTCACTGAACAAGTCCAATTCACAACAATGCAAAGCAAATTAACTCAAGGTAGAGTGTTGATCAGTGATAAATGGCAGAAACATCCAATGAATGACATACCTTCTTATGGGAATGCAGGAGAGTTTCACGTTGATTGTGCAAATCTTGAAGGATGGAGACACCAAGCTCTTCTGTCTCCAGAGTAGTTCTTCTACTCTCCTTGATCCTGTCGCTTGACTGATTTAGTCTCTCGGTTGACATTGCCAATCTTTCTCTTTGATCCACAGAAATCTGATCATGCCAGTCAGTTACAAAAAGTTATCCCACCAAATACATCAACAATGAACACCCTACACAAGTCTACAACCAATATGGAACTCGTTGGACAAGCCACACAACCAGAAATGAGTGCATATATTTTCTTTATTAATATGCCTAATGCTCTATCCGAATTTCAGGTGTGCTCTTGTGAATGGGAGTGTGTGTTGTGCCAGAAGGGGCGTATCCAGTAGGTGATTCAAATTTTTGCGTATAGAAAGAGAGAGTCGGAACTTTGGAGAGCTATCGGCCCTTAAAGATGGGTGGAATGTCAGGGACCACTTAGTCTCATCAAAGCTATGAAAGCCCAGGCCAAATTTAGCATGGCAATCACAAACAGGAGGAATGTGATTGAAGTGGAAGTAACAAACAAGAGGAAAATAAAAATATAATGTGTAGTTGTAGTTAAAAATACATGATGGCCTATGATTTAGCATGACCACAGATAGAGCTAGTAGCAAAGTAGGAATGCTGCAGCCAACAAGTAGTTGAAAAAATAGCTTTGGTTAGTATTAGTTTTTTCTTGATAAATAGCTTTAGTGAGTGTTAGTTATTGTAGGCTTTGTAGCATGTAGTGGTAGTAAAAAATTAGAGCATGTAATGGCCTATGATTAGCATGGCTCTGAATAGCAAAGTAGGATTGCTGCAGCCAACACCAAGTAGTTGAAACAAATGGCATTGGGGAATAACAACCAAGCCCATGGACCCATTTGGAATGTAGACACTAAAAGGGAATAAATAAAAGATTTGCGACAGGTCCAGGCCTTCAAGCAAGTTGATTTGTCCATTTCCATACTAGATAATATGAACAAATTGTTCTCTTCAAAACAGTAACCTGGACCAAACAATGTCATACAAGATGCAAATCTAAATTGTCTTGACACTAACAATATTGATTAATAGCAAATAAAGGTCTCAAACTCTGAAGAACATGAAAAGATCTCACTTCCTAGAAGGTACAATATAAATATTGGTGGACTAAATCAGTTCCATAAAATAATTCAAATTTTTGAAAGAGCCTTATACTATAAAGAATCCTACTTCACCATATTAAATAATTTGTCCAATCTGATTTGATCCAACTACTGAAAAATAGTACATGGAAGAAGCACCAAAAAAAAAATTTATGAAGTGAAGATGAGCAAATGCAGTAGCAATACATGATGTGTTTAGTTAAGTACCACTACGTGATTGCTAGCTTCAAAGCAAATGCAGTAGCAATACATGATGTGTTTAGTTTAAGTATCACTAAGTGATCGCTATCTTCAAATAAAATCGATCCTTGAATCTAATTTAACACTCTAGAATAAACATGCACATCCCATCAATGTTTTGAAATAAAATAAATAAATAAAAACTGATGAGATGGTACAATCTAAACGTACCACATGTGCATCTGCAATTCCAGACTTCAACAACTCCTCACGGACCTGATTAGCATCATTTGATGAGATTTTCTTAACTTCCCTTTTAACCTTATTTAGATCAGCCTTGTATTCCCTTAGCTTGGCAAGCAGGACAGCCTTCAAACTTGGCTGCAAACTTCTTGCCTCAAGATCCATTTTTCTTATCTAGTGAGACAAGAAAGAAGAACTCATCACAAACCAGTATTAAGAGATCCTTCTCAGAATAAAGCAAAAAGAGACGGTCCATGCAATACCAAAACATCAGCTTCATCCACTCCAGTTTTTATTTCAGAAATCTTTTGCATCTTTTCCTCTGCTAATCACAATGACAAAAATCATATTACAATCCATAAGACCATTAATATAATGATTATCATTTCCAAATCATAAACATGCGTACACAAACTACAAACCAACAATAGAGCTTTCAGGGGAAAAAACAAAAGAAAAAAAAAAAAAAAAGAATTAACTGAAACCCAAAAAGAAGAAGAAGAAGCAACTTTTCCAACACATCGTTGCAAAAGGCATTCTGGGAGAACTAACTCAGACACCCAAAAACAATTCCTAAAGCTAATGAGATGCATAATTGATAATATAACTGAAAAAATTTGAGTATATGCCTATCTAGATGTCCATTTCACCAGGGGCGGAGCCAAAATTCAAAACTGTGGGGCTTTTTAAAAATTGCTAGCCGCTCCATCCCTCCTCCGTCCCAGCATTTCACTGTGATCTTTTGGTTTGTGAAACTTCACTTGCATCCATACTAAATAAAAGTGCCATGTTTAGGGAAAAGAGACTAAATTTTCATCAAAATACAACATGCATCTAATCACATAACTTAGTAAAACAACTACAGTAAACACAATGCCTATACTTCTTAGGCAGTAACAACAACATATTCTGATTAGACTTCCAAATTGACTGCAAATACACATTATAGGAACCATAAAACAAATAAACTTGTCATAAAAAGGGAAATGCTAATGCATACTCAATGGATGGTCATTAGTGTCAGTATACATGTAAAGTGTATAGAAATGTATGAAAATTGTACAAAAAGCGTAAAGTATTTAGAAATATGTGAAAATTGCATTGGGATTCCAACTATTTTATCAAATCCACACCTTATTGACAGATTAGTATGACCAACGAGTCGGGTATTTTGAAACTCAACTACTTTAGTGATACACTTCATACTTTACCCTAACCTTGATAATTTTCAACTCACTACTCCTAAACACATGTAAGTTTTCTGAACAAAACTGTATATTAGTCTTGAATTAATATGAACAAAGAATACATACATCATTTATATAGAGTACCACTAATTAATTCCTAACCCTACATGAATACATTACTGAAATATATAGAAGTCTAATAGACATAGGACACTTAATCCTAATCCGAGAAGAACACATATTCTCACAACACAACCCTACCCAATCAATGCTCTCCAAACCATTTTCAATTAGAATTGGGTTGAGTCAAATACAATCGGTTCAGGTAATTTTTCAATCACACAAAATCTGCTTTTTCAAATGAATAATGTGCAATTATTACCATGATGAAAGCCATATACAAATTTCACAAGCCAATAAACATGGTGTACAAAGGCAATCTAATGACCATAATAATACGATACAAACACAATACCAAATGTTCCATAAATGTACATCTATGGAACTACAATAAAAGCAATTAAACTTTTTTTTTTATACCTCCATCAGGAAGAAGACCAGCAGAGTTACATTTTCTGGATAAATTGGCAGAAAGCTCGCAGTACTGGCGCTCATATCCTTCGAAAACCTGACTCATCGCTCCTCCAAAAGCTTCACAACACCCTCGTCAATGAAGTCAATTCCAAGGTCCACTAAAAATTCGTGTTAAGAAAATCACAAATTTGAAGTCAAACTACAAAAATTCGATTAAAACATCATAATTAACGAAATTTCATAACCCTAATACTGCATCAAAGCTAATCAGAAGCAGAAGGAATAAAATAATGATGGAGTAGAAGATGATTTAATTACCAGGGAAGGAAAGAGAGCGACGATTGGGAATTTCGCAGGAAAAGCAGCGATCGGATCGGACTTCTCAGTTGTCGAATCCAAGAATCTCCGATTAAACGTAGACAGTGTGTGTGTGTGTGTGTAGAGAGAGAGGGAGAGAGAGAGAGAGAGAGAAGGCGTAGATGAACAAGTTAAACGAGTACCGAACGAACTGTAATTTCGTGAACCAGACAGACAGTACACGCGGCCTTGCCGGGCAACTAGATTCCCTCTCCCATCTCTCTCTCTAACCACAAATTTTTTTTAAAAAAAATTTTTTTTTTTTGGTGAGAAATATTAAAACAAATTACACTTTGCCTTCATGTTATCATTTATATTTCTTTTCATTTTGACTTTTCATTTTTTAGTTTTTTTTCAATTTACTTATAAGGTTAATTTCCTATTTAAATTAAGCAAAAATATAAATATATTATTATATTGAGATCTTGGATTTGTATTAGAGGTATAAATTATATATGATAATATTTTTTTTTTAAGTCGTGTAGTTATCAAAATGTTATTTTTTTGTCTAATTTTAAATATAAATTAGATTTTGAAATAAAAATAAAACAAACCATGTGTCAAAAATTTTAATTTTGTTTCATAAATTAAAAATACTCCTTTTAATTAGTAAAAAAATTAAAAATTAAAAATTAAAATTTTTGAGACAAAAATAAATCATGTTTATGTTTTCATTTTTCGCACAAAAAAAACAATTTACTTTTTATTCAAATTTGGAATCAAAACAGATGAAAAAATTGGTGAGGGGTTGGAGTTGGAGATGCTCTAACTTGATGAAGGTTGAAGATGGGGAGGCCAAATTAAGTTCTCAAACCAATATATACATTTATTATTGAAAGATCTATATAAAAATATATATATATATATATATATATAAACATAAAAAAAAATTAATATCATATCTATTTATATCTATAATAATTATATTATTTGTTAGATCTATATTTGAATTTGTAATACTTAACACTTTTGTATTTTTATTAAAATTTTACTTTGATCTTTCTATTTTTAATTATACCAACTTACGTCTTACACTTTAAATCAAGTTGTAATGTCAACTTTTCTGCCATTACAAAAGGTGACAAAACTAATTTGATTAAAAAAAAATTTATTTTTTAAATCCCACTTTTAAGGAACATTAAATAAATGGCCACAAAACAAAAAAAGTATTTTTGATTTCTTTTTTGATTATTTGTATACAAAAATGAAAGGATAATTTTTTTTAAGTTCCTTGATATTAAGATTTTATAGAATAAAAGACATGCAATAGTTTTATAGTGATTAGAGTCCCTTAACATTTTTTTTAAAAAAATTTCTCAAGTTTGCTCAATTTCTCTGATTTTCTATGTGGTTTGACATTTTCTCTATGTTTTGATGAGTTAATTTTTCTGTCATTTTAGAGAATTTTGTGAAAGCTTTATCTCTTGATAAATTAATTTTGTTTGCCTAAAACCTTGGCCAAATTTGTGTGTGATAACCAGATAAATTTGTAAAAATGAAATTTCTCTAACATGTTGATTTTCTCTAGCATGAACATATCTCCTTGAGATATGAAAATTCTCTCAAATTCCCCTTGTACCTATTGAATTTCTCTAAAATTTACTTACTACTCCTCTTTTAAGCTTCTTCTTCAAGCTAGTTGTGTGTGTATGTGTGTGCGCGCGCGTGCGTGCGAAATTTTTTCTGGCATTTGAAATTTCTCTAATCACATTAGACTCCTAGATTTGTGTGTGATAACTAGAGAAATTTGTAAAAGTAAAATCTCTAGCATATTGATTTTTTCTGCAATTTCTCTGGCATTAAGATATCTCCTTGAGATATGAAATTCTCTTGAATTCCCCTTGTGCCTGTTGATTTTCTCTGAAATTTACTTACCACTCCTATTTTCAGCTTCTTAAAACTGGTTATGTGTTTGTAATTTTCCTTGGTATGTTGATTTTCTTTGACCAAATCACACACTCCTATTGTGATTTTCTCTAGCCAAATCAACTCGAAATCAATAAACAATGAACACCTCAATTGCAAATTAACTCCAAATCGATGTGTGTAATTTTCTCTGTCATGTTAATTTTCTCTGTCAGTGGATTTTTCTGCCTTTACAGTGAACATTTTGAAAGACTGGGATAAATTTCTCTGTGTGATAGCCAAAAAAATTTGATTTTCTTCCCCTGTCATGTTGATTTTTTTTGGGTCAAATCACACACTTCCCCTTGTGATTTTCTTTGGCAAAATCAACTCGAAATCAATAAACAACAAACACCTCTATTGCAAATCAAGTCGAAATCGACTCTACAATTAGAAATCAACTCGAAATCAACTCAAATAAAGCTTCAAAAATAAAAATTCAACAAAATTACAAAAATGCGATCTCCAAATCACAAATTAAAATTGAGAACCTAATGCAAATCAACTCGAAATTCAATGTTGAATTTACTCACAGTTTCATTTGTTTCAATGTCCAGAAAAATTACAGAGTCTAAATCTAGTTCCCATAAAGGAGTAATTATCAGAGCAACCAAGAAAAGGAGGTTAGGGTTTGGTGGGGCTACAATATAACATAGACCTTTCTTTTGAGGCCTTGCAATGTGGAGACAAGGGAATGGAGGTGATGAACAGCTTCATCAGGGGGCATGTCTGCTTCGGCGGTGTCAGAGACACCAGACATCTCCTTCAACGTTGGGATCATTGGAATTGGTAGTGGTGTTGAGGAAGTTTTTTGCATAGAACCCAGATCCAGCTACTGCTGCAACATTGTGGTTGATTTTCAAACAGCAATTATAAGAGCATTTGGTTTTGTTTTTTTGTTTTTTTTTGTGATAAATATAAGAGCATTTGGTTTTGAAAGAGAGAAAGAGAGAGATTGAGAGTAGAGTACCAACTGAAGTGAGAGAGAAGAGAGAATGGGTATGAGTGTGGGTGTGAAGAACCTTAGGCTACAAAAATAAATATTGTAAATCTCTTGCATTATTAAAAGTTAGAGAGGGATGTTAGACTAATTACTCCAAAATGAAAACGATGAATCTTTTCTAAGTTTTCATTAGTTTCAATCAAGAAAAATAGAAACGAAAAACAAAATTGAAAAATAAAACCCATACCAAACAACCAACAGAGAGAGAGCAGGAGGCACAGCAGCCAGAGAGAGAAAGAGAGCAGCTGCAGGAGGCAGCGGCAACAGCTTACTGTCACTCAATTCTACAAAAGAGAGAGAGAGAGAGAGAGAGCAGCAGCAGCTTACTGCCACTCAATTCTACAAGGGAAGTTATAAGCAAGAAGAGCCTCATAATGGTTTAAACAAAGAACAATGAAAAGAAACCTGACAGAAACCAAGAATCTTACAATGGAGACTTGCAAATCCAGTATCTTGGAGTATATTTTGACCGAGACCTGCTCACAACTGAATTAAAAAACATAACACCATAAAAGTAAAAAAAATTAAAAAACACCGATGCTTGAAGGGAGGCCATTTCGCCGAATCCATTGTTAACTGATGCATTTGATTAAAAAAAACAAAAAACAAAAGTCATTTTGGGCTTTCCACAAGATATTATAGATTGTCATACTGATACGAAACTAAATCCGTCTTTTGGGAGATCCCATAACAATAAGCCTGACACTGTCAGGATGATCAACTTAATTCAGAACATTATCACGCGGAATACGAAACTACACATCAAAATTATGGACGTTACAATATTGAGTTTCTGTACATCAACAAACAAGCTAATATAACATCAAGAGAGGATCTAGTTAATTGGATGAACCAATGGCTCTCTTTCAAATTTCTTGAAATGACGAAAGTGGAATCAAACCCTTCCCCAAGACTAATAGAACGTTAAACGAAAAGGAAAAACTAAATTTAACCTACAAAAGGTAGTAAATTTCCAGCCAGAGAAGCAGAATATGTAATATCAACAAACTAATAGACCTGTCTAGATCAGCACTAGCACATTCATTGGTGTTCTCTCACAAATTGCATATTTGGAGAATCTTGATCCATCTCAACTCTGCAAATACCAATATCGGAACACAAATTACACAACCATGTCTGAAAATATGATGCGTTTAAGAAGCCCAACTCATCGAATGTTGAAAAATCAGTTAGTCTTCTGGATTAACTGCTTCATTTGGAGTAGAAACAGTTTCATGAATTCCTGATACATGAGCTTCGTTAGTCTGTGGCTGCTCCAAATCTTGATCTGGGAACACTTCAGATTGCAAAGCCGGAGCAATGTTACTTACATGCAACCATGTTAGCTCCCACAAGCTATCTCCACCAAGGGCACTCCTCTGCACAAGCACTCCCTTTCTCTTCATTACAAGCAAGGTGTTCTTGAGAAGCTCGGGAACTAGTTCTAGAAGCTTCTCGCTTTTCTTTCCTCTGACTTTCACCTTCATATATTTCTCCATCCGGCTGAGCACCCCAAGCCATAGTTTGCAGAAAGTTGTTAACTGCGAGAGCTCGTGAAGTAACTGTAGAAAAACTTTAGACAGGAGCTTCAATGCAAGGATTAGTGTCCCTTCCATGTTTCGGTAATCTTTTTGGGAGTGCCCTTGTGAGATCTCAAGCAAGTCATCAAGCATTGTGAATATAACCAGATCAAAACAATGCAACCACAAATTACTCGAAAGGTGGACCCCATCAGCTCCTGTCAAACACGTTTGCAACGATACGAGGGCGTGGTTCCGAACTTCTTCTCTCTGGTCCAAACACACTTTTCTCAATCCCTGCACAAGCTTCAGCCACATCTCCCCTATATCCTGAGACATTTTTACAGCCTCTGTTGTTTCTCCCGATTCCTTGGCTTCTTGCGCCCAACGTGCTAAACAAGAAACAGAACCAACCATAAGATCCAAAGCACGTACAGATCGGTCGGCTTGTCCGACACGAGACTCAGCAAATTGCCTTGCTGCATCTACGGAGAGCACGTAATTGGCTGGCAACAAGTGGTCTCCATCAGACATTATGAACATTAGTGCATCAAAAGCTGCTTCAGAAGCTTCTGGGTGATGGGTTGTGATGCAAAGTAAGGACGTGATTGTTCGCCAGCCCGTTGAGGAACGGATGTGAGTGGCGTTTGCTTTAACAAGACGACTAACTTCCTGTGTGATTTGCTCACAGTATGCATCGGTAACACGAGCATCAAGCTTCAGAACCAGATGTAGTGACCTCAAAAGTTCATCAGCCAAGTTCTCTTTGTAGGGCAGCAAGCGCTGGCAAATCCGAAGGAGTCCAAAAACAGCCTTGTCAACCAGAGCACCAGGTATCACTGTCGACTGAACGATGCTAGATATGTGATCATAAACACACTGCCAGAGAAGCATAATCCTATCCCGGTTGTTCAGGGTAATAGCAATAAGCAATTCCAAGCAGAAAACAGCAGTGTCTTCGTCCTCGGGAGAACTATTCCCCTTTTGGGGTCGTCCCGCAGCCAAAATGAGTGCCCGTGCAAGCTGTAATAAGGAATCAGCTTGCAAAAATTTACTCTCTGTGAAAATGCTGTCGATGTGACACTTCTGAATGGTTTGAACAGTGCGCTGATGAGCAGCGAGCTGTTGTTCAGTAGGTTGTGATCTTGGTTCCTCTGTGTCGAGAGATAAAAGCTGACTGAACCGGCCCATCAGTCCAGAAGATCTCCTAGGAGTACCTATGGATGGCATGTGAGCTGAAGATAAAGAATTTGTAAGAAGCTTCCCATGTCCAGGGTCAGAAGAAGAAAGCTCTGAGTCATCCGCTGCATCACTTGCCACACGAGCAGGAAGAAGACCGAGCTTGTGCAATTTTAGAATGCAATCGAGGATATTTCTCCAGCCCGTGTGGATGAAATCACCATACCAATTTGCAATATTGAAGACTGTTACAGTTGCATTACGGGCTTTCGAGTCATCGCCGAAGGCTAGAACCGGCTCCTCCACAGATGATGGGTTTAAAAGGGTTGTAAACTTACAGAGAGATGCCACCAGATCATCCAAAACATCTTCAAGATGATGGCATGCTGAAATCTTTGCAACAGCTATGAATCCGTCGATACAGGTTTGGTATACATCTTCATGCTCTGCATGGTCAAATACCACAGAGATAGCAGCAATGGTTGGACCCGACATTATAGCAAACATATCATGGTCAAGGTAGGCTTTAGAATCCGACACAATGAACGGAGCAGTTTTCTTGGATTTGTGCAATAGATCAATCCAACGGCTTGGGTTCATTTCAGGGAAACCAGCACCTTGTTCTGGTGTTGTGCGGATCTCATTCTTGCAGATTGAGTGGTACAACTCTGACAGAAACTCTCGAGGGAGATCATTGCCACCATTGATGTGCCGATTATTCCGGATGAAATCTTCCTCGGTCATCTTTTTCTTCACCTGCACATTGTGCTGATCTGTGTTGAGCATTATTAGTGAATAGGACAATAGGAGAGCAGCATCCTTGTTAGCTAGAATTTGAGGTGATTGCTCATAGTATCTTTCCGAGAATGCCTCAAGTACCCTTTGTATCTTTTGTGATTCCCCGGGAAGTCGGAAAGTTTCCAAAAACAACCGCAATGCAGTATCCAGGTTCATGCCGTCAAAATCAAAAGTCCCAGCAAATTCATGAAGAACCTGAACGCAAAACTCATCATGATTTCCCAGAAAATCCCCAACAAGATTCTTATCTAACCCAGCAGTGTATCTGAAAAAGCAAGCCACACTTTGGGGATCGAGTTTGTCAGGCAAAAGATGCGTTCCCTGGAGAAATTCAAGCCCTTTTTTTGGATCTCGATTGAAGTGATCAGCCCCAATCATCAACCTTCTTTTGATGTATTTCCTCCGTCTCACAAATGGAACCCAATGATCAGGGTCACTATAGTTGTCACACTTCACCATCCAGAACGGGGTATACTCCTCAAGATTCACAGGGGCTGGTTCCGATCCCACTGATCCATTGCCTATCCTCTCAGCCATTCCCTGAATTACAGCAATCAGGCCATCCAAAGCAAGGATGTGCATTGAAGATAAAGGGCAATTCACTGGAAATGCACTCCTGGACAACAAATTGGCGAGGTCTTCAAAAACATTACTGCAAGTTATGTCACAATCTAAGTTAGTATACATCTCCAGCATAAACGTTTTCTGCCTGCAGAAATCAACAAGAGCTTCCATTGCAACCTCCTGCTGCTGGTATGAAGCCCCATATCGGCTTTGTGCAAGCCTCAAAATCACACAACAAAAGAAAGCCTCAAGCTGTAGCTTTAGTTCAGCACGCAAATGATGATACAGATTGAGAACAATGCTACATACCATTGAGAGTATAAGTGGACTCATTGACAAACCAAATTGCATCAGGTTACGAAATAATTCATCCTGTACCAAACTCAATAATCTGGGGTGTTGGCGAATAGAAGCACCACCCAATTCAATTGCTGAATTAATTAATCCAAAAGCAAAAAGAGGTATATCTTCATCAAATGCCATACTATTTGGCCTGGGACTAGGACCCATTCCATTATGCTCAACAGCATTCAACAATGAACACAAGAAGTGAAATATCTCAACCATGCAGGGGATTCCATATGGCTCAGTCATTAAATGCGAATCATATGGAACAGCGTCCATCCGATTACCAGACCGGATTGTATTTTCATCCATCATACCAGTAACTAGGCCACTGGGAGCATTAGAAGCCAAACCTGCTGAGGATAGTTGGCTATCATGTTCAGAACTACCATTGCCATTCTCTAATTGCTTTGCCCCAAAATTGTAATCATTATCCATCCCACCAAGCTGCACAAGAAGAAAATGGGTTCATTTAAGCTCCTTTTGATTATAAAGAAAAATTGGTGAAAAGTGAAAGTGAAAGAAAAGAAATGGAAAGGGAAATATGTTTCTTGCAAGTATTTGATTAAGAAGAAAATTTGACCAGAAAAAGATAGAAAAATTTGAAAGATTAATTATAGATAACTCTTTACATGGACAAATTTAAACTCATGTTTTCTTGTGTTTTTTACAAGAAATTATAAAGTTAGTTACAATGCTAATATGAGTTGTACAAGAAAATTAGCTTTCTTGTAATTTCTACTACTTACATACTAAACGAACTCAAAAAAATTTTTTTTTTTTTTTTCTCCTTTCTCTTACTTTCTACCACTTTCATCCTAAACAAACTCAGCCTTACATTCACAAAAAAGAAAACAGTAAATATCTTACCCTGCAGAAAGCTGCAGTTTTGGCATATGGATCCATCTCTTCTTCTTTTTTTTATACAGGAGATCGCCTCCATGCCATAGGCCATTTTTGTTTGCTCTATTTTGTTTTTGTCTATTTTTCTTTTTCCATTTCGGGGTTCAGAAAAGTGTGATTTTACATCAAGAATACAAATCTCTTATTGATTTTCTATTGTGGTGCAAAAATACAAAATGAACATATGTTCAAAAGCCCATGTTGCATACTCCAACATGGATAAGAATCCATGGTGGAAAACAAGTAGACCAACACACACTATCTGCAGTTTCCACCACCATTGTTCAGCCCCCGAATGAGGAATTAGGACCACTATATTCTTGAACACTGTACTAAGTTGCCAACAAATAAAACAAAAATGAAACCATAAAACAGTTGTGTGGTTTCCAAAAATATCAGCTTGAAAAAAAAGAAGAAGATTAACTACAAGCTTGGCCAGATTCTCACAGTTGGCGTGAAACCATTAGCTAGACCCATTGATATGTTCAATTAAACACGCCAAAAACCTAAAAAAGAAAAGGCTACCAATAGGGTGACAAGCTTGTCATGAAAGATTGTTATACATCTTTTCTTAGCTATAAAATGGGGCCGCAGTTGATGCGCAGCACTCTTAAGTTGGAACGCTTTTAATCTTTAAATTTCCTTGTAAGTTGGCATAGTATTTATGCCTCTAATTGGAAACGAATAGATCAGGTTGCCAGATACATGCTACCTACATGTCAAAATTTGGGTGGGCTTCCCAAAAATGAAGCTCAAAAGCTTGTTACATCACCATTAGTGAAAAGAAAAGGGCCAGAAAGCCCTAAAATGAGTAAAGAATAAGAAAAAATACTCTATTTTTTATTTATTTATTTGTTTTGATAAAAGTCAATAAGAAGGAAGACATTGTATGCACGTGGAAATGAAAAAGACACAAAAGAATATGCCTGCATACCTCCTGTTTAAAAGAACTGGCTCCTTTAACCAATGAATCTTCTGTGTTGTTGACGTCAGGTATGTTTGAAAAAATACACCTAACAAGTTCATGCATTGTGTTTCGAGCTAGCTGCTGTAACAACTCACCTTTTCTTATTGCTTGATGAACTACACGGAAGCAAGTATTCACTATGGTGCAAACATGCTGATTACTCAGCCTAACTGATGCTTTACTTTTCATGCAAGCTAGAAGAACCTGAAGTATCTTCATTAGGACTACCTCTTCTGATGAAGTATCAGTCACCTCAAATCTGCAGCTGGTCACAGCATCAACTACCAAGTGCATAGCCTCTTCAACATTAACAGTATTTAGATCAAGCACATCAAGACTTAAAATCTTGTAAACAGATGACAAAGCAACACCTGTGATTGGTGCACCGGTTTCATCAGACCGAATTACATCCAAGAAGGGCTGGAGATAAACAGCAGGATTGATGGTAGGCCATGGGTGCTGCCATGAAAAAATTTGCTTCCGCAATGCCTTCAAAGACTGGATGAGAGAGTTCTCTAGCTGTTCATCACCCGACATATAACGACCTCCCCATCTCACATTCCTCCTCATAACAGCCAGTACAGCACCTACTTCCGCATTGACTATACATGCTAAAGCAGCTTTGTTAGAAGAAATAACCTCACAGTCTTCTGGTTCTTCTTCAATTGACTTTATTCCAGATTGCAGCTTTAGACGCCCCATGTTGAAACTGAACTCTCCAATACAAGCTCAAGTTCAATCTGTAATTAGCAATAGCTATTTACAAAAAGTACTGGAACCTGACAAAACCCTTCACGACCTACACAAAATCAACAAAGATGTACTCATCATGTAAGGAACATGGCAATAAAAGCTCAGAAAGTATGTAAAGGAGGCAATTCCAACACTTCAAGAAACAAATCAACATAGCTCAAGATTCTGACTATTTACAACAAACATCTACAATTTATACTCAAACATGTTAAACTTTCCTCCTAAACAATAAATGCTATTAGCAAAACAGAACAATATGATTTTCTGCCCAGTATACAAATCATCATTTTAAGAAGATACAAGGGCAGTAGAATTAGTACACTAGTAGAACATCACAATCACCATAACTATTTCCTCAGCATTAGAATCCCAAACCACCACCATTACTATTGCTTCCCCAGTGTGTATTCACCTATTCCACCATTACTCTTGCGACCACGTCTACACAACTAAGTGTACAGACTGCATTAAACTGCACCATAGGCTGTGTTACATGGACTCGCCAGTTTAGGGCAGAGTACCCGTGTCGACACGACACGACACGGGTGTGGGTGTAAGATATGTGTCGGATTCGGCATGATTTTCTCAGACACGGCTAACATGAGAGGAGAAAGAAGAAGGGTTGTTGAGAGAGAGAGAGAGAGGGGAGGGGGGGGGCTGAAACTCACCTTTGCGAAGCAAGTCGAGTCGCGAGGCACGATCGAAGTGCGAACCCTAGCCGCGAACTAGACCGAATCGAAGGAGATCTGAAAATCAACATCTCAAAGCCGATTCCACCCTAAGGCTTCGATTCCCCTCTGGTCTCGACCTCTCTCTCTCTCTCTCTATCTCTTCTATCTTCTGCCCTTCTCCTCTCTCTCTCTTTTCTTCTTTGACCGTCTTCTCTTCCTTGCCCTTCTCTTTCTCTAGTTTTTATTTATAAATGATATATTAGTATAATAATATATAATAGTATTCATATTATATAATATTTACTCAAAAAAATGTTGTATATTATAATATATTATAAATATTATAATTTTTATATTTAAAATAAAAATAATTTATTTTATCATATATAATGTAATTTATTTTATATCTAAAATAATTTTTATTTATTATTTATATTTTATTCGTTATTTTTTTAATAAAATTTGTTATTTCTTAACTTTTTAACTCATATTCATATAATAAATATATTTTAAAAAATAACTATTTAACGTATCCCCGTACCCATATTCAAATTTGGATCCATATCCACGTATCTCTAATTTTTAATTTTAAAGTGTCTGACCCTTAGATATGCACCCACACCCGACACCCGTACCCGCGTCCGTGTAGCTTAGACCATAGGCACCATCGCTAAATCCGCCACCTACAACCCTCACCGTTCATTTCAAACCTTGAGTGCCAATGCTTGACCACCCAGCACATCTTGATAGATGAACAGACTAACTTGCACTAATAATGAAACAGTGTCAAGAAATCAAGCATTTGCAGAACTAGACTACGTATACCATTGAAAATAAACAATACCTCATCTTTGTAACCCTCATACTCATGCTAAGCAAATTAGCATGACTTCAATATTTACCAATAGCATATTATGCTCAGTGTTTATTCATGTCGATACCAATAAAATAGATAGACACATTGTTTATCAAAAATAAATAAAATAAAATAGACAGACTGATGCAGAATATAAGAAGCTCAAGGACGAGTCAATTCAAAAAAGCGGCGATATTTGGAAATTAGAATGATTTCAAAGAGAAATCAATAGAAACCACACATAATCATGTTTATAATATTATTATAGTCTTATTTTATGATTCTTTTCATGTTTCTAGGATTTTAAGGCAAGGGGTATATTGGTGATTTTAAATTTGCTTACATGGGCTGTACAGGTCGCCCATGGATCGCCTTGTGAGTCAAGTTATGTAATTAGTCTTTATTTTTGTTTCTTATTTAGTCTTAAATTAATTTTGAAAATCAAAAATATTTTGATAGTTTCTTACTTTAGTTCTAGTCGGTTTAGGAAGTCTTCTAGTCCTATATAAAGCCATGTAATGCTTATAATTTGATAGAGTTGATATTTTATAAAAAGTTGATAGCGTTGAAACTTCTTTATGTGTTGCGTAATGCAATCAAACCCTAGGTGTGATGCCTAGGCCTACCTTCTTCTCTTGTTTCTTCTTCTTTTCTATTTTAGTTTACTTTTCATGAGTTATTGTTCACAGCCTCATAACAGCCCCTAAACCATGCTAAAATCACATCTTTTCATGCTTAAACTCTTACCTATTTATTACCCTAAACAAATCCTACTTGTCCCCTATATTCTTAGAGCAATTGCAACCATAAAATCCAATTAAAATCAGACTCAAAAGCCTAGATTTGTTACTATCCCTAATTGTCCTGCATCAGTTGGTATTAGAGCGATAGATCCTATTATTTTGTGGAAGTTTAAAACATGTCCACACATCCTAGAGCTCTCAGAAGGGGAATATTTTCTGAAAACCGAAGAGATCAAATTGTTTTTAAAATTGTGGAGCAGTTAGATAGTTTTCAAGTGCGGCTTAATTCTTTAAAAAGACGAGCAACCCAACAGAAGGTCGTAAACAGTCAAATTATAAACGGGAAAAACAATCTTATTGATGATTCAAAACCACCCCAAGAAGAACTAATTGTTATTCAAGGAAGAGGATGAGGTCCAAATAGAAAACTCGGATGTCACACAAGCTATAGGGACTGAAAAATTACATGAACCAGTTGTTGACACTGATCCTAATATGGCTTTACAGCTACAGGCCAACAATTTGCTGCCTCAATTCTCTATGACTGATTCTAATATTTCCCAAAGGGATGGTAATACTGAACTACATGATGAAACATTGGTTGAAAAAGAGGATGAAAGTTTGGAATCCACAATTAATGATGTGGGTGGAAGTATTCAAATTGATTACAAACACTGCCTTGCAGAGCCAAATGAGAACAGATTGCATGGAATAAATTTTGCAGCCCAAGATTTGGATCAATTCAAGGATGTTTCAGTTCTTTTCATTGATTTTGACATTCCTGACACATTTAGTATCATGAAGGACAAGATCAATTTCTCAATATTTTTATTCCTATCTCCAACAAAGAAAAGGCTGCTGACAACTTAAAGATTTTAACATGAAGCCGTGAATGTAATTCCGAAGCTTGAGGATGCTTATACCTCAACACTTCAAAACTCGTGGTCAAGTTTTTTCCAACCAAGGAAGAATAATGCGGAATATAAGAAGCTCAAGGAAGAGTAAATTCAAAGAAGCGGCAATATTTAGAAATTGAAATGATATCAAAGAGAAATAGATAGGAACCACACATAATCATGTTTATAATATTATTATAGTTTTGTTTTATGATTGTTTTTATGCTTATAGGATTTTTAGGCGATGGGCATTTTGGTAATTTTATATTTGCTACATGGGCTGTAGGGGTCGCCCATGGGCGTCTTGTGAGTCAAGTTATTTAATTAGTTTTTATTTTTGTTTCTTGTTTATTCTTAAATTAGTTTTAAAAATCAAAGATATTTTTGTAGTTTCCTATTTTAGTTCTAGTTAATTTAGGAAGTCTTCTAATCCTATATAAAACCATGTAATGCTTATAATTTGATAGAGTTGATATTTTATAAAACATTGAGAGCTTTAAAATTTCTTTATGGGTTGTGTGATGCAATCAAATCCTAGGTGTGATGCCTATGGAATCTAGGTGTGATGCCTAGGCCTACCTTCTTCTCTTCTTTCTTCTTTTCTATTTTAGTTTACTATTCATGAGTTACTGTTCACAGCCTCACAACAACCCCTAAACAGTGTTAAAATCCCATCTTTTCATGTTTAAACTCTTACCTATTTATTACCCTAAACAAATCGTACTCGTCCCCTATAATCTTATTGCAATTGCAGCCATAAAATCCAATTAAAATCAGACCCAAAAGCCGAGATTCACTGCTGTCTCTAATTGTCCTGCATCACACACACAGAGGTTACAAATCAGTACAGGAATAATAAACCTATAAATTGAGGTTTCCTAATGCCCCTAACACCAAGAGACAGCTTAAATCACAAGGAACCTTAGACTCAAAATTACCACAGAAAAGAGAGAAAAAAAAAATATCAAAGGTTTGACAAGGGCAGTGGAATATAATAAATGAACCAGCTTAACAGAGAGTCTCACATCTCCTGAAAAATCAAATACAAAAAACAGACCTAAACTAAAGAACCCATTTACCTAAAAGAATGCATTGCGAAAGATTAAAAAAATAGATGTGATTTTCTACCAAAACCAGTCAAGTGCACTCCACGAAAACCCCGTGGTCTGCAACACACATTGTCTACGTTCTCTGCCCATTCAGTACACAGATAAGCCCACTCCAGGGGGCCTACCAACTTATTGCATATTCATTAAATTTCAGCACAAAAAATTTAACTAGTTGGAGAATAATCATGTGAATAATGTTGGTTACTATTGTGACTTTGGAACAATATCCACCAGCCTAGCAACCACAATTTACAATATCATGGGGGGAAAACATCCTTTAGATCAAAAAATATATATATACATATATACACACATGGCTATTAAAACCAGAATCTTGCATGGCATCAGTGAGAGGCCCTCATGAATTGGATTGAGGATCCTAAGATTATACTTTTCATAAAACAAAAAAAGGGGGTAAAAGTACCAATAAGGATTATACATATTTAAAATAAGGTGAAAATTTTACAATGATTTGGATCAGTTTGACAATTTTTAAACTTGCGATCCATGCATATATATATTCTCATCAAGTTGGAATGCATCCCATATGCTAAAATTAACAAAACCAAACCAAACCAAACCAAACCAAACCAAGCCTTAAGTCCTATCAAATGGGGTCGGCTACATCAATCCTTCTTCTCTGCGCGGCCCTATCAAACCATGAGACAGACATAAAGGTACGGGAAGCTTCACATAACTGCTTGTACAAGTTTGGACAACAATAAGTACTTGACCAACTTGAATCCACAAAAGAATCAATCAACTTACAAACTGAAAACAATTATATGCGACTCTTAAGGTCATAATTGAGTGCACACGATTAGAAAAGGTACAGGAACTCCACCAACCAGTATCACCACTTTAAGTTAGTTGTTTAACTATGACCTATGTCCCCAGCAGCCAGGGACTGGCAAGTCCCTGCATTATATCAGTCAGCGCATGCACAAAAAGCCATACCAATATCTAAGAACAAGCCAAAAACAGTTGCATGCTCTCCAATGTGCCTACAAATCATTATTCACAATTTGTTAACAAGCATCAAGCCATCAATTATCCTTCTGGTTTTTCACTTCCTTAGATGTTTTGAGATAAACCCATAACCTAGTGGGATTATATTGATATTGTCTCCAAAAAACAACCATTTTCAAAAGCCCCTTTCTTCAAAGATTCATAATTTAATTCTCTTTCGTATTTTTCTTTTCATGTTTAAAATTAAAATGTTACTAGGCTGAAAAGTACATGATGGAAATAACAAACAAAAAAGATAAACAGTGATCCAACTCTTTCTTTTGATAAGTAACCAAGATCCAACCTAACCAAGAAAATTTTGAGTCAAGCAAAAAGTAATTAATAAAACAAACGGAGACACTGAAAAGGAAACACCATAAATCTATATCTATATCTCATCTTACTACTACAAAAGGTCACTCTAAAGGTGTAAAACAATTTTACGAAAACAGTACCCTCTATAGCTCCAACAGATTGTTGGAAATGAAGATTAAGCATGGCGCAATAACAGCTATCACCAATTGTAATGCCAAACTATCATAATGCCTATAAGATAATTGCATCTCATATGA